ATAATAATTCAAGAACTAAATCGTTACATTTTCATGTTTTGCCAAAGGATCCAATTCGGTAAGTATATTTGTTGGTGCAGAATTAACTAATGATAACTTTACCCAATATAATTTATATTTAAGTTTGGACATTTTTAAGAAATTAGTAAAAAATAGTTTTTGCACAAACATAACCTTAAAATCAACCATTTTTATATTTGAGTTCTCTAAAAAACGCCGACAACTGCATTTTAAACAACAAAATATACCTACGAATTCATGGCAACATAATATTATATATAATACATAATATAATGGTACTTTACCGTTGAGTGAAGACTTTCTTAATCAACGCTTTTAATGATGCTAAATGCTGTTTAAATTTAGACGACTTATTTGTTTGACGATTTTTACTGAATTGAAATGTTTACACTTTTCACGTTAATCACTACTAAAATGTGTATTTATTGTATCTAATAGGTACATTTTATATTTACAGAGACTGTATGCAATTTATTTCTTCATTCAGATTAACACTGTTTATTGGAAAACCGGTAAAAACTCAACCCAGGATTTCCTCTCGAAATACACCCAACAACACAACAAATCGAGCCACGGTTTTTTTTTCGATATTTATTAACATTTTCCGTCTTTATTCTCAAAAACACTCGTTTGTAACATAAGCGTTTTACAGCTGATTATTAAAAGTTGTACTTTTGTTACGATGATAATAGCCGAGTGGTGGCGCTACTAGCAATACTTCTTTAGGGTATTGCATTGCAAATTAAAATTGAGTGAAGGCATTCATTTAAATTCAAATATTCGTGAAAGCCCCACGTCTTGTCTGTAAGACGAATATGGGGGTTTGGAAGTTCGCAATATATCATGGCTCGTTCCAGAAGTTAATAATTTTGACAGGTCGGTGGCAAGATGGTAAGTGAGGATCGTTGGCGGTCTATTCTCGACGATATATTACAGGGCCGTGGCGAGGAAAAGTCTACAAGACACAGGAAATTAATAGTGTCCGCTATAGTCTGTTTTTGACCTGCCTTTTTATTCGCTAGCTCGTTGACACCTAATTTACTTTTGTGATGACGACAAAAACCCCATTACGCAATATGATTTATAGCCACTTTGCGGGGGCCTTTTTGCACAACATACTTAACAAATACAAAACTTAAAAAACATCATTTAAACAGCAAAAACATATCTAGCTAGATGACTTCCATTGTGTTGATATGTGACTTCTAGACCTGGGAGAGACGTTAAAACTTGTATCTGATCAGTAAGAGCCCATTAGGACTTAAGAGCAGTTTTACACAGAAAGAGCCAAGTGAAAATTTGTAAAAACAATGCTAAGAAAAAAACCTGGAAATCCAATACATTGTATGTATACATTTTCTTAGTATGGGCTTGAAAGACGATTTGTTGTGTTGTTGGGTGTATTTCGAGAGGAAATCCTGGGTTGAGTTTTTACCGCTTTTCCAATAAACAGTGTTAATCTGAATGAAGAAATAATTTGCCTACAGTCTCTGTAAATATAAATTGTACCTATTAGATACAATACACATTTTAGTATTGATTAACGTGAAAAGTGTAAACATTTCAATTCAGTAAAAATCGTCAAACAAATAAGTCGTCTAAATTTAAACAGCATTTAGCATTATTAAATGCGTTGATTAAGAAACTATCCACTCAACGGTAAAATACCATTTTATTATGTATTATATATAATATTATTTTGCCATGAATTCGTAGGTATATTTTGTTGTTTAAAATGCAGTTGTCGGCGTTTTTTAGAGAACTCAAATATGAAAATGTTATGTTTCTGCAAAAATTATTTTTTAAGAATTTCCTAAAAATGTCCAAACTTCTGCACCAACAAACGTACTTACCGAATTGCATCCTTTGGCATAACATGAAAATGCAACGATTTAGTTCTTGGATTTTATTTACAATTAAAAACACAATAATTCACCATGATCCCTTAGATAAAATACACACACTAACGTAACTATATAAGCATTTAAGCGTTGAGTTTCTTAATCAATGATATAAAGAATAATCAATCGAAATCGAGTATTAAACCAGTTTTTTTAGTTTTTTCCTTGCAACGTAAAACACAAATAACGTGCGCGATTTAGCTGTGCAATTGAACAAAATTTTTCGAGTAGACTTTTGTGAAAAACTACCTATTTATTTAAAAATTATGTACGAGGTGTGTTAAGAAAATAACGGGAATTGTTAAATTTCGCGGGTTCGGAGGGTCCGGTTGTCATAATTTTTTTTTTATTATGTTGGTATACATGCCCCCGAAGTATGATAAAAACTTTAGCTGTTTTCATGGTTTACTTTGTCTGTGGCGGTCGCTAAGGTTAGACGTGTTTTAAGAGCTCGGCGATTTTCGTTCGTTAAAAGAAATGGATCAAAGAAATTTGTATCCAATTTTGCTTAAAAAATGAAATAAATTCTGTGAAATGTTAACAAATGCCTATAGTAAGTCTGCTATAAGTAAAACAAGAGATTACAAGTGGTATAAGAGTTTCCAAGATGGCCGTGAAGACGTTAAAGATGACGAACGCCCGGAACGCCCAAGCACATTAACAACCGATAAAAACATGTTTTTATCGGTCCATGCATGGAAAAAGTGGAAGAAATGGTTATAAACCATCAGAGAAGTCGCTGATGATGTTGGTATATCGATTGGCTCATCTCATGAAATTTTTTCGAATGTTTTGGGTATGAAACGCGTGGCAGCAAAATATGTTCCAAAATTGTTAAATTTTGAACAAAATTTTTGTCCAAGAACAATACTGTAATGATGCCCCAGCCTCCATATTCGCCAGACATGCCTCTGTCTAACTTTTTCCGATTCCCAAAAATAAAGAGAACCTTAAAGGGCCGTCGTTTTGCAAGCATAGATGACATTAAAAGCGCATCGCTGAAAGAACTAAATGTTATCCCAAAGATAGAGTTTTAGAAGTGTTTCGAGTATTGGAAGAAGAGCTGGCACATGTGCATAATATCCAATGGGGACTATTTTGAAGGCGACAACATTAATGTAGACAAATAAATAAATATTCTTTTCAAAAAACGAAAATATCCGATATTTTCTGTACACACCTCGTATAATCTGTGCTTTAAATGTATTGTTGACAATTCTTAAATTCGGATTGGATCGATAAAACATACAAAATACATTTCAATAAAAAAGACTTTAAAAGTGGATACGGTTCTAACTTTACACTTAACAGCTGATCTATCAAAAGAAAAATCAAGTACTTTGTAAGAAATTAAAATTGGAAAAAACAATATAAATCATAATTATTATTTTACAGTGTACAAATCCAGGAAGTATAATATGATAAGACAGTCCGTGACATAAACTCAAACTCTAAGAAATCAAGTACTGCAGTGTAAGAAATTAAAGCTAAATTTGAAATACAAAATTGCCGAGACAGGGAAGCTAATGATCTTCAAGGACAATCCATAACAGAAACTCAAACTGCAGCATGCTGCTGATAATGAAATGGTCTGGGATTGAAACATCCTAAAAGCATAAGGAAACAAGCGTAAATCATAAGATAGTATAATATTTTTCACAAGTTTAGTTTGATTTATTCAATGTTGTCTCCATGGTGGCCAATTTAGGGTTTTTATTTGGCAACTAAACCTACATTGCAATTATTTGTAATAAATACATTTAGAAAAAATATGTTTACATTTTTCTTGCAATGTTAACTTTCACACTTTTCATTTTATTCTTTATATTTGCTTTAAAATAGGATGTTTTATTTTTATTAAAAAAGTATATTAAACAACTAATGTCATAAGACGTCATTTTGTCGCATGCAGACAAAAGTACTTATGACATGAGTTCTTTATACTATTTTATCTATTTTGCAAAAATTCTTTAAAAAAATTAATTTTATACCTTAAATTTAATTTGGTCGAATTTTACTTTAGATAGTTGGTATCAGTCATTGGTTTGACAGTTAATGTCAAAATCGATTCACCATGGCGTCCTTAATTTACTTATTTTAAACAAAATTTATTGCCAGAAAAGTCTCGTAAGTACTCTAAAAATCATAAAAATATTATAACCAATATGCAAAATATTATGCTGTTTAAAGTATAGCCAACCTATAAAATCAAAATTTTGGGTGGGATAAAGTATTTCATTACAGCACCGAAAGCGGTGTTATAATGAAGTCATTATGAATGCAAAATAGATAAAATAGTCTTTAAAGGTTAATATTGTGATTTGGATAGTTTTTTACATGTGATCTTTGATTAATTTAAAATATTAATTAAACACAAAGGCGGGAATGAACTAAGATGGCGGTAACTGGGTAGTAACGAGAATTCGTCCTACTGAAGAGCATACTTTGTTTCCTTGTACCACGGGGATTAGTTCTTTGTCGTTGATAGTGAAGGAGTGATAAAAATGCGGTTAAAAGTGCGCGTTCGGAGAAGAATAAGTTTAATTGGAGTGCGCGCCAGCGTACTACAGCGGCTGCAAGAAGTTGCGTGGTGGAGAAAAGGCGCGGAAGAAGTGGCGCAAAGGAAGGACGTAGAGGACGCATGGACGGGGAATGGACGAAAATGAGGTTATGGCAGATCGTGGAAGTAATCGTGTTTGTTTACCTCTGCCGAAGAGATAGGTCGCTTCATGAAAGAGTATTGAAACATATAGAAAGCTCCCAGCACAAATACGTATTTATACAAAATCTACATCTACAATCTACTGGATGATTAAAATAATTAAAGAAGATCTGTGCATACAGCCATTCGCCGTGGTGCATAAACTATAATGAAGGTTGAACGATACAAACTGATGGTTAAGAAAATTTTGGACAATGTTAAGTGTATAAAAGAAATAAATGATTCAAGGGATGAGTTGTACTCGGATTCTCTTAATTGAGACCCTTGATGATATTAATTTTGTTTAAAAACATAATGAGCTGGGCAAAAGTAAGCTAAAGGTGACAGTAGTTTGTGTTTAGATTGATGAAGTTTACCTCGCAGTTTTGGCAGGTGTGGACGATCGAGTAGGACTGTTCGCAGTCGTAGTGGGTGAGCAGATCGTGTATGCCGCATGCGACCTTCCTGACTAGGTAGTCGAGGTCGATGAGGGCCTGGAGATGCTTGCGGCAGGTGGTGCCGCCTTGGAAGACGGCCGGTGGAAGAGCCGAGTCGACCGCGTGCTCGCAGCAATGCCGCATCCGAAGACCGTGCAGCAGGTTACGCCTGCGCTGCGGTGTCAAGTCGTCACGCTGGCCGCACACCTCCTCTTTGTGCGATTCTTTCAAATAATAAAGGCACTGTGGAGTGGATTTGGTGGTGTTATTGGCGGCGCACGGCGGCGGACAGAGAGGCTCGGGCGTCTCGCAACGGGGCCGCAGCTCTACCGCCGACGAGGCGGTCTGGAGATCGTCGGGCGACAGCCACCGGTTCGCGGAGTAAGAAGAAGAAGACGTGGAGGACGCAGTAGACGTAGACGACGTTTGAGACGGCAGGGTGGCGGCGAACGCCAGGCCGGCCATCAGGAGCAGCGACAGGGCCGTCGGGCCCCGGGGCATTCTGTGGGGGTGGCGACGGCGTTACGGGAGCCGGGAGCATCGCTGCGGGCGGCCGGAGTGCCTCCCCTCGCGGCTCCGAGTGCCCCCGGGGTCCGTGTGCCGGGGCCTCCCGCTAGACCGAGGCCCCCCACGACCCTTCGCGCTCATGCTTCGCTTCGCTCGTCATCATCGTTCCGCTTTTGCTGGGTACTGTCGTCGCGGACCGCCGGCCTCAACGACATCACATCACACTTGGACCAGACCAGCAGGTCACGCCTCGCGGCACAACGACACAACTCCGCACTGCCGGCAGCAGCACACTACTAGCGCCGCCGTCTCTCGCCGTTCCCGATGTCACTAGGTGCCGCCATCTTGAGAAGGTATACACAGCGGTGCTTGCACAGTCCTCCCCGCCCGGGCGCGAGCTGTGCCGCCCGTCTCTCACTCGACACTGCCACCACGGCGGCACGCACCTTATGCGCGTGCGCCCCAGTTAATCGATAGCCCGACCGTCAAGCAGCCTCGCACGTCTCGCTTTCGCACAAGCTTCTCGCCATCTCTTCCGTCCCTTGCTTGCTTGCCAACATCCCGACACCCCTTCTCCTCTTCCCTCCTCCTCACTCCTCGTCCTCCAAACCAACACGCTACACTTCACACGCAACTCTCCTCCCTCTTCCTCTCATAGACGCCACCCCAACGACATCCACTCGCACTTTTACCAAGACGAAAACTGCACTCGACCCGCACAATATTATAGCGTCCCTTTTTACTCTTACATACTTACTCTTAAATAGAAATCTTCTTTTATTTACTTAAAAACACAACCAAACTGTAACGATATAATAATAATAATAATAATATTTATTCACCACATAATCCCTTCAAAATTAAATATACAATGGAATAAAATAATTACAAAGTAAGTTACAACTTGTCTGAGGAAAATACAAATAAATTTATATATAGAAAAATATATACAGGGTGACTCTTTTAACTTGAAACTTGGAAATAGGGTTGGAAAAGTTGAAATTTTCAAATGAAAATTTCAACTTTGAAAGTTTCAAACTTGAAATATTTCATGTAGTTGGAAAAGTGAAATTTTTAAAAATTTCAACATTGCCTGTGAAAATTTCAGAAATTTCATTAAAAGTTTCGCAATTTACTCAAAATTTCGCATAAATTTCACATGCGGGGACCTTTAATAATAATTTACAACAGATTCCGAATCGACCAATAAGAACGAGTTATCAAGCGTCTGGGCGTTTTTGTTTAGTTCGGCTTGGATTTGAATACACTATAAGTAATTATTGTTACTTATATGCGTAAATTAATTTAAATAATTTAATTCAGTTACCAATTTAATTTGTAAATTGGTGATTGATTATGATGATTAATTTGATGATTAATTTAAACTTTTACTTTTGCTATAATTGCATCGGAAAACGGATAAAAAATGCCTTTGGCTCATAAAATTTTGATGAAGTTTCTTCAATTTTTGTAAAATTTTAGTAAAATATATAAAAATAATAAATATAAAACAATGAAAGTGGCACAATCTCATTAGCTTACCAAAAAATGCTATATTGCTTAGTTTTAGTAATTTTAGAAATATTTTAAAAGGAAATCTCAAGAAATTTGTTGTAAACATAGGTATTTACTATTTATATTATTGGTGCAGGGACCCACAGAGGGGTAGGAGGTAAGAGAGCCAATTTGCCATGGTCACCGAATGGGCTTATTTCAATATTAATATATTACACTTAAAGTGATTAAAATTTATTGAAAGTTTCAATAAATTTCATGAAATTTCAGACATTTAGGAAATTCTAATAAATTTCATAAATGTTGTGAAAATTTCAAGTGAAATTTCAAGTACAAGCAAAAAGTGAAATTTTCCCAACCCTACTTGGAAATATCTTAGTTAGTATGCATTTTACGAAAAAAATTTTAAAATAAAAATTAAATGATTCGAGGGGGGAAATCAATCAGTACTAAAATTGGTTCTCATACTCTCCTCCTTATAGGGGGAACAAGGGGTAACTTTAAAATGTCCAATGGAACACCCTATTTTTTATTGCAGACTAAAAATAGGTACATTTTTTCATATTTGTATATTATATTAAATTATAATAGAATGAAAAAAAAAATCAATTTTGTTCGATTTTTCTTCTTATATGCGATTCTGAAATAATTTTTCTATAAAAATATCACTTTTTTGGTAATAATTATCTAATTAAAATAAATATGATTTTTTTAAGTACCCACGATTTTTTAACTAATATTTAAGTTTCCTTTGGTTTAAGTTTTATACATTATTTCATTCGGTGATAATTATCAATTGCGCACCATGGTCACTTTTTTTAAATAAATAAAAATGTTTCGTAATTTTTATATAATTTGGGACATATTTAAGAAATTTTGGACCCAGATAGACAGACGATCTTCGACTAACTACTTTCTTCATTTTTGGAACTTTATACTTATTTATGCGGCGAGTCTCATAAGGATGTTCCAACACAGGTAAGCTATCTTTTTTGCTATAGCAATCATATATTATTTTGAAAGATTAAAGCAATACAAATTTTTTTTTCGGATTTTTTCTAAAGAATCCAAATAAATCCAAGGGCATGATACAGCATTTTTATGTCATTGTAGGTGAGTATTTATTTTAGATATTTAAATTTGTATATTAAAATTCGATTTTTTTTAGAACATGTTGAATATGAGCTTTTCATTTTAAATGTTGATCAATCACAATTCCTAAATATGTGTTTGAGCTTTCTTGATTAGTTTCAACGACAGTAAAAAAGTGCTGTATCATCTGCAAAACTTACTATTTTTGCAGCACTAGGCACTGATAAGAGTCAGTCCATATATAACGTAAATAAAATTGGACCCAGAACAGTCCCCTGAGGAACACTATATTTTATATCCTTAAAGTTACTAGCGTTATCACACATTGTGTTCTTTTGTTAAGTTAAGCTTTCAAAAAGTTTGTATATTGTAAAGTATTTTAAAAACCTTGGCAAAACATGTCACCAAAAACTTGTACAATAATGGATGTTTGAAATGCTGATGGGCAGTACCCAGTTTCTATTATTTTATTAATAATATGAGTAAGTGGGAAAGATATGTTTTTGCTAATATGCTTAATTGCTAAAAAATAGCATAGATAGTAAAATGTAATAAAACACATTGTTATTGGTAATATACAATTTTTATTAAAGCCCGATATAAATCAGCGAATAGCGAATAGTTTAGCTCTCTTTCATAGTTATATTCATATCGGACATAATTTGAGTTACATTTCTGAAACAATTTTTGGCATCTTCATCTCCTCCATCATACACTTTTCGAACTCCTTTAACATCGTCTTCGAATAGGCCGAAGAAGGGTCGATAACGATAAAGTGGTGTCATCACTGCATCATAGATAAACGACTCGTGAGCCAGTCCTAAAGCATGGCCAATTTCATGAGTGGCAACCTGAAGTAAATTGATCCCATCGTTTTGCACAACCCAATCTTCATCATCGTCAAAGTGAATTGCTTGGTAGCCTTCGGGACTTCTTCCATGCTTCATGTAAAATTAGTTAGGGTTTTTAAAGTTTTTATTAAATACTTACAAAATCAAAAGCATGCGCCAAACGCATTCCCTCCCCATCAAATCCACTGGATTCCTTTTCATTGCTGTGCACTCCAGTTTCAAAGCTTATTCGGAAATACCCATCATTTTGAACTTGTGAAAACGTAAAATTGGTTTTTTTGATCCAAAATGCGAAGGCTCGCCTTATTTCTCTTTCCACTGTATCGCTATCCATTGATTTCGATTCGTTTAATATACTGTATGTTATGTGACGTTTGGGAACTTTGGCATACTCCTTGTTATCGTTGCATAGAACCGCGAATCTCTTTGCTCGTTTAGGTTTCAAAGGTTCGCCCATACGCATGTCAGGATTACCGCATCTGGGCGCCTCCATCATTTTGTGCATTTTGTCGTTCATTTCTCCTATAAAGTTTTGACCATCAAGCAAAATCAAACTGAACTAAATCGTACTTACCAGTCATAGCCATACGGTTCATTTTCTGGAAAACCATAACTGCCTTTTTGTGCGACTCCATTATCATAGGTTCCTTCATCATGTCTTTTGACTCCTTCATCTGCTCATATTTCTCCATGCCTTTTTCATCCAAATATCCATAATTCATAAAGTAGTCCTAAAATATATTAATACTACACATTAGGGTAAATATGCAATCAGGGGGTGTTCAGTTGACAAAAACGCAACCTTGTTTCGTTCATTGTTCTCTCAGAATTTGTGTTGGAAGAATGCACCAAGCTGTTTAGTTGTGGTTTATAATTATTAACTAAAGGTAAGTACACTTCTTACAATACCTCAGTTTAATGTATATAATAAGTAAACCGTTTTTTTTTTAATTTTTAGATGTTTTTCCTGAGAGTAAAACATGTCCATGATGCCAAGTTTAATAAAAATTTAGCCAAAACCTTTCATGATAGCACAGTTTATTCTAAGAATGTTTTTTAAACCTTCCAGTAGGAATATTCTTAGGATCATGCTATATTTCTTCTAGTCATGTTCTAAGAATGTTTTTTAAACCTTCCAGTGAGAATATTCTTAGGATCATGCTATATTTCTTCTAGTCATGTTCTAAGAATGTTTTTTAAACCTTCCAGTGAAAATATTCTTAGGATCATGCTATATTTCTTCTAAAGACCATGCTTAAAAGAAATATAGCATAATCCTAAGAATATTCTCACTGGCCTATAGGCAGGTTCTTAGAAGGTGCAAAGTTTAGTGGTAAAAATTAATCCACTCTAACATATGCTTAGAATGTTGAGAAAGTAATAGCTATAGAAAGCTCATTTAGGAATATTCCTGGAACATTCTGTTAAGCATATTCAGTTCAGTTAGTTACCTATATAATAGTAAAATATACCATAATCTACGTATAAAGGTACCTATACTTGGTATTAAATACTAAGTAAAAAACACAACCCAAAATATTTTTTTATAGTTATTTGTCAAATTAAAACAATATTCGATAACAAAAATACTTTTACTATAGGTATCTAAATTATCCGGCTTTTACATAAAATCTTCTATCCAACTTAAATACAATGAAAAATGTTTTTTTTTATGAAGAACTATTTGGTTTTTTCTTTTATGAAGAATTATTTTATAAGGAAATATTTTGTTTTTTTATATTTTATTTTATGTTAAAAATAAATATTTATTAATTTGTATACCGATTTATTATTTCTGAATTAACATTTTTATGTATAATAATCCTAACTATCTTCAACTTCAATCTAATCTGACTTATCCCACAAATTTTTCCAATTTTACTTTTTATGAAATAATGTCATACAACTTATGGTTTAGAGGTCAAATTGTTTATTTAATATTTTTAAATGAATATACATGTCGCAAATTTTTTTAAGGGGACGACAAATACATTTCACTGTCATATTATGACAGTGAGGCGTATTTGTCGCCTCCTGAAGAATTTTACGAATGTAGAATCCAACATATTAGAACGTGGGTATCTGACATATTTGAAAATATTCTCAAAAGCTTCCTAGAAGCTCCATAAGACACCTTCTAAGAACATTCCAAAAACGTATTCTTAAAATGTTCTTAGAATGCTTCTTAGGAAGGTTTTAAGAAGCTTCTAAGAATCTAATTGCATCATTAAAAGGGTATCTATTGAATGTTTTAAAAGTCCCTAAGAACATTATTATCAATAAGGAAAGGTTCTAAGAATATTCCATTATTCCGGGTCATATCTTCTTATAAGAAGATTCTTATAGAAGATTCTTAAAGAAGATTCTTAGAATCAAATTTTGCTATCAAGGAAGTTGCACGAACTGTATTAAATGTGTTACACTACAAGAGTACAACATCTAGAGTTAAATCAACACTAAAATTCACACTAAATTTAAGGTAAAATCTGGTTAATATTTGTTTAAAATTAACAAATTTTTTTTTTCTGTGTAGACTTCAACAGTTGAAAATGTGTTAGTTACAAAAACGATGTGATAACTTTTTTATGTAACTTACCATTTCCTTCTTCATTTCCTCCATTTTAACCGGATTGGCATTTAAAACACATGTTAAATAAATTAAATAAAAAAAAATAATCACAGGAAAATTTAATTTTGTTGCCATTGTTTCTTGAAACATACAACCAAACAAAATTTTATTAAAACGTTTTTAAATACTAATCACATAATTAAAATTTTGTGATTATATAAGACCGCATATTTCCTGAAGAATGTGTAATAAAGTATACAGGGTGTATTTTAAAAACCTTGTATAAGAAATTATAAACTTTGTATGTACATAGATAGATAGAAAACTAAAACACTTTTGTAAGCTTATACTACTCCATAAGAGATGCCGCTACTGTTCAAATATATTACGAATATTTTCACAGCTAATATTTAAATTTTAAAATTAATTTTTTTATTCACTTGGACCAAAAAAATAATTAAATTAATTTATACAGGTGCATCCACCATTTTTATAATTTTTTAATTGTTTTTACTTTCCATTGTGCATTGTATATTAATACAACAATACTCAGCAGTTTGTGCTGGTACTACCTAGTTGATTAGATTAAGTAAATTAACCTATTAAGTATTTTATATAACAAGCAACATTGTCGTATTATACGTTTTGTTATTATTTGTTTTTTTTTTTAGATAAGATTGTTTATAATCTAATAACGCAAATATCAAGTGATCAAGGTTAAGTGTCAATAATGTTAAATATAACTAACATTTTTAGGTTATAATTCGATAAAAATATTTCCAATATTATTCAATAAGTGTTAATGACTTCAATTTCATTGTAAGTACCGTACACCAAATACTAGACAAGAAATGTATCAAAAATTACTTATTTCAGTAGCAATCGCAGTTAACCTTGAAACAAACATGACCACCGCTTTGAAAAATTGGCGGGAATCCGCCAGCTTGATCATAGCGGCCAAAAACAAACTGAAAAGTGCGACAAACTTCAACTACAAAATCCTGACGATCAAAAGGAGTTCAAAATCGGGGTTCATGCCCAACAATTACGTATTTCCGGGCGGAAACGCATCGAGTAGCGATAGCGATCCAAAATGGTTGGAAATTTTCCAAAAGGCCGGCTACACCAAGAACGAGTTGAGTGGTTTGATGCCCAAAGAAAACGTGCCCTCAATTTTGAGGGATGGTACCGATGGAGTGCCAAAATTTTTGTCTTTAAGAATATGCGCGATCAGAGAGACTTTTGAGGAGTGTGGTGTGCTGATTGGGAGTCGAAATAAAACAACTGGCAATCAGTGGGCCCAACATATAGGTGAGTTATTACCACCATAACAACAATAAAAACCCTAAATCCTCATTCCAGATTCAGAAGAGATTTTGGAGTGGCAAAAAGTGGTCCATGATGATCCCAATGAGTTTATAAACTTGTGTTTAAAGTTTAAAGTAATCCCTGACGTTTGTGCTCTAAAATTATGGTCAAACTGGATTACACCACCGTGTTTGTCATCTTTATTTAACGCTATTTTCTTTATAGCTTCCTTCAAAGATACTCCTACGACGCAAGCGGAAGAAATCGAAGTAGCGGATATAAAAGTATAGAAATATAATCAATATTTGTTAATATTATCCCTGATAGATAATTTGATTTTAAGAATCTTCTAAGAAGATATGATATTCTTAGAACCTTCCCTTATTGCTAAGAATGTTCTTAGGGACTTTTAAAACATTCAATAGACACCCTTTTAATGATGCAATTAGATTCTTTAAAGCTTCTTAAAACCTTCCTAAAAAGCATCCTAAGAACATTTTAAGAATGCGTTTTTGGAATGTTCTTAGAAGGTTTCTTATGGAGCTTCTAGGAAGCTTTTGAGAATATTTCCAAATATGTCAGATACTCACGTTCTAATATGTTGTATTCTACATTCGTAATATTCTTCAGGAGGCAAATACGCCTCACTGTCATGTTATGTATATGTCGTCCCCTTAAATTTTGCGATATATTAATATATATTTATTTAAAAATAATAAATAAACAATTTGACCTCTAAACCATAAGTTTTATGACATTATTTCATAAAAAGTAAAATTGGAAAATTTTGTGGGATAAGTCAGACTAGATTGAAGTTGAAGATAGTTTATACATAAAAATGTTAATTCAGAAATAAAAAATCGGTATACAAATTAATAAATATTTATTTTTAACATAAAACAAAATACCTATAGTAAAAGTATTTTTGTTATCGAATATTGTTTTAATTTGACAAATAACTAAAAAAAATATTTTGGATTTTGTTTTTTACTTAGTATTTAATACTAATTACTTAATTATATACCTTTATACGTAGTTTATGGTATATTCTACTATTATATAGGTAACAACTAAATATGCTTAACATGAATATTCCTAAATGAACTTTCTATAACAATTACTTTCTTAACATTCTAAGCATATGTTTAGAGTAGACTAATTTTTACCACTAAAACTTTGCACCTTCTAAGAACCTGCCTATAGGCCAGTAAGAATATTCTTAGGATCATGCTATATGTCTTTTAAGCATGTTCTTTAGAAGAAATATAGCATGATCCTAAGAATATTATCACTGGAAGATTAAAAAAACATTCTTGGAATAAAGTATGCTATCAGGGATATATTTGTTCTTTTTAGTGGTGTGATCCTCAAGCATATCTGGATTTAAACCAAAAGAAAGAAATAATGCTACCACCACCTCAATTTTATGAATTGAGCAGGATAAAAATATTAAATGATGTTGACGAGTTAGTAAGACATTCTAATGAAAGAGCTCCTCTGGGTTGTGAAGCATTTTTGCCTTACAGGGTTAAAACTAAGGAGGGGTCATTTTCTTGTTTACCAGGTATTTATATAAAAATGTTTTATACTTATCTACTTCCACTCAAAAATATCCTACAGTCTGCAGTACAGTTGTATTTAGAGCAGTACAGTTTTTATTTTTACCTTTGCAGGTGACGACTTTTACCCGAAAAACTACGACCTAGAAAATAAAAATATCGACGAAATAGACCATATTCCTGACAGCAATGTAAAGCATAGGGTATGGCACAAATCTAGCCATCTTAATATTCTCTACACCAAAAACTACAAACCCAAAGCAGGACATTTAGTCCCTATGTATCCTAACGAAAGTAAACTGTGATTTTTGTTGAGAGAAATATATTTATTATTATTGTACCTATGTAAATAAAGCACTTTTTTGTAATTATTTGTTTATTTCTTATCACATTCTAGGCCACTTTTATGGTGGCGGTTTCTTTTTCTGCTTCAGTTTTGATTTTCTTGCTTTTTCTTCGTACGTTCAGTGAAGACTCAACGACTATTTCATCAAAAGCTGGGCCAAACGCGGCTAAAATATAATATAATAAAAATACAACAAAAAACAATTTTGTAAACAACTTACATTTAACTGCTTGTTCTGTTGGTTTAATTTCTTGCGTTTCCAGTTTCGGTGCAGCCATAACAAGACCAAGAAGAAAAACAATCACAAATATAAACCCCAAAAACTTCATTTTATTATAATAGACTAACCAAAGGCTTGCATATAAGATTTAAACTGAACATAATATCGTATCTTACGTAGTATTAATTTCCTTTAACTTTCACTGATGCCCCATTTAAACTGGTTTAGTTATCGATCAATACCTATAAATTTTAAGTGTTTGTTATAATATATTAGGCGAGTTAATCGAGGTGATTTGCATTTGAAAAGGTTACCTACGGGTCATTCCATAACAAATTTACCCTGATAGCACACTTTATTCTAAGAATGTTTTTTAAACCTTCCAGTAAGAATATTCCTAAGATCATGCTATATTTCTTCTAAAGAACATGCTTAGCATGATCCTAAGAATATTCTTACTGGCCTATAGGCAGGTTCTTAGAAGGAGCAAAGTTTTAGTGGTAAAAATTAGTCTACTCTAAACATATGCTTAGTATGTTAAGAAAGTAATTGCTATAGAAAGTTCATTTAGGAATATTCCTGTTAAGCATATTTAGTTCAGTTACCTATATAATAGTAAAATATACCATAAACTACGTATAAAGGTATATACCTATACTTAAGTACCTAATTAGTAATTAGCTTTAAATACTAAGTAAAAAACCATCCAAAATATTTTTTATAGTTATTTGTCAAATTAAAACAATATTCGATAACAAAAATACTTTACTATAGGTATTTTATTTTATGTTAAAAAAATATTTATTAATTTGTATACCGATTTTTTATTTCAGAATTAACATTTTTATGTATAATAATCCTAACTATCTTCAACTTCAATCTAATCTGACTTATCCCACAAAATTTTCCAATTTTTCTTTTTATGAAATAATGTCATACAACTTAGAGGTGAAATTGTTTATTTAATATTTTTAAATAAATATATATTAATATGTCGCAAAATTTTTTAAGGGGACGACAAATACATTTCACTGTCATATTATGACAGTGAGGCGTATTTCTCGTTTCCTGAAGAATTTTACGAATGTAGAACACAACATATTAGAACGTGGGTATCTGACATATTTGGAAATATTCTCAAAAGCTTCCTAGAAGCTCCATAAGAAACCTTCCAAGAACATTCCAAATACGTATTCTTAAAATGTTCTTAGGATGCTTTTTAGGAAGGTTTTAAGAAGCTTTTAAGAATCTAATTGCATCATTAAAAGGGTGTTGAATGTTTTAAAAGTTCCTAAGAACATTCTTAGCAATAAGGGAATGTTCTAAGAATATTCCATTATTCCGGGTCATATCTTCTTAGAAGATTCATAAAATCAAATTTTGCTATCAGGGTAGGAAAATCATAATCGTGAAAAATGTATAAAAGTATAAAAAACCCTTTGGAAATAAAAAATACCAAATGTTTAAATATTTTTGTTTATTTTACAAAATAAATTACATACTTCACATTACATCAAAATTATTCGTGGTTGTTTCTTAAGTTTTTGTTCTTTTTTTGCAAATTCTTCCTCAGAAACAATGAGCTTAAAGCTGGGTCTCCAAAAGCAGTGGCATGACTTGAGGCAACTCCACCTTTACCTAAAAAGAAATAAAAACAAACAGACATGTAATAATACTTTATTTATACAAAATATACAATATAGAATAGATACAAATATTTATTTACCAGTACTAAAAGCATTCGCAATAGCTGTGGCAGATCCAGTTGGATAACCATCCTCCCCATCAAATCCTTGTCTACCTCTGTTCCTGTTAGCAGCAAAGGTGATTGGAAAGAAGGCGTTGTACGATGGAGCACCTCTTCCAAACTGGAAGGGCCATGCACCCTCTTCTTCTTCTTCCTCCTCGTTTTGGGAATCATCAACCAAAACTTTTGTTTTCGGTTTTTGCTTCCTTCTCAAAGTCTTCTTAGGTTTGACGGTTGTCACTTCCTCTTCTTCTTCCTGGCTTGCCGAAGATTCTTCCTGGATTACTGCGGGTTCTGGGGTAGCACTGGGAGTCTCTTCAGCTGCTTCTTCCTGTACTGTTTCTTCAACATCTAAAATTAGGGTAATATAACATTTTTCATTTTAAGTTCAAGCAATCAAACCTGGTTTTTCTGGAGGTGCCAAATAAACATTTTGCTCCTCCTCAACTGGGTACTGACTGGCCAAAAAGGAGTTTGTTGCCACTTGGTCAGCACCACTGGCAAACATAGTCATGGTACCTTCAGGCATATACGACCTACGAGCCAACGGGTGACCGTAGTACCCGCTGTTCACCATTATGGTTCGTTGAGGCAAAAATCTTTGCCCTACAAAATAATTATTAATTTTTTTAAATTTCGTCAAGATAGAATCTTACCATTATAAGGGTAGGCGGTGGCACACACACTCACTAAGAACAAACACAGGATCTTGGTGGACATCATGATAGTACAATTGTTTTGTTGTGTTTGTTGATTTCCTACTGAAGGTATATAAAGGATCACCCCCACCCATTATTGTCGCTAAATTGTCAATTGAAGACGGATCTTCCTGAAGAATGAAGCATTGTCTACGGAGTTCAATGCAACCAAAAGTTCGTATTGCAAATTTGATAGACTTTCACTAAAATTCTAACAAATTGATCTGGAGAGTTCTAACGCTGTAGTTTGATACCAACGTCATCAGCCATGCATTGCCCACCGTTGTCAAGCGATGACGTTGCGGTATCGAAGTCCACATAGATGAATGCATATAGGTTTGGTCTTTGATCCTTCGCGTTAAATAAAATTATAAAATTAAATCAGTGTAAAAATAAGAGTATACGGTTCATCGAAATAGACAATGGTGTTAAAATTATTATGTAACTAGCGTTTGTATTATTCATTATCGCTTCTGCAGCATTTTAAAACATGTAACGTCTGCCCATTGGGTACTACGTGCCTTTAGTCACATGAATTAAGCAGAAGACGACAGTATATCAAAAAATTTCATCTCTGAGAATCGCTTAAATTATGCGGTACCTAACTGTTTTTTATTTTGTTTTGTAGAAAATTTAGTATTTTACATATACAATCAATAAATATATTAGATAAATACGATTGGTATTTTTGTCGTTTAAAGCCATTAATTAATAATTCCCAAAACATTGCGAATATATTTAAATAAATATATTTACTATAGATACAGATGTGGCTTAAGTATTTAAAAGCCCTTTTTAGGAGCTATTCAATATAAGCTTTCAATATAAAAAATGCAAAACCAGATGCAGAAGCAGATGAGAAGAAGTGTGCAGAACTTCCGCAAAAATAGACTAACAATCGATGTAAAAGCAGTTTTTCACAGGCTGAAGTTAGCTTTATTATAAATTGTGAAAAAGTAAGGTTAAGTTCGTTGAATGTCAAATATTTATGAATTAAAATTGGCTTTAAATTCTTAGTGTTTGTCGTAGATAAAGTATACACTGTTAAAAAATTCTATTGTAATTTTACAAAACATGTTTAGGAAGTTTTTACGCACCACAATATAGTAATAATAAAACTCAGATTTGAAAATTCACTACACGATTCATTACAACTCAATTTGGGAAAATTACAAAACGTTTGTTGAAATTCACTAAGCATTTATTAAAAATTTTCAGTAACATTACTATACAGGTATTGTAATTTTGCTAAAAAAATACTAAATATGTTTAGTAGAAAATTACAAAATATATTTTACAATTTTACTGAACTGAATAAAATTCGCAATATTACAATACAAATATTGTTATTTTGCACAACAAATTAAACTAAAAATATTTAGTAATTTACGAATATACAATGAAAAAAAAAGAGACCCCTGAGCTTATATACTGTCCACCTAAGTCAACCAAGGCGAGATGTAAGAACATCACTTGATTGCCGCAATATGCATTTTACATAACATTATAGCAAATCAAATTACAAACAACGTTTATAAATCTGAGATGCTTTTTATTAGAAACTGTCAAACTGTTTAGTAAAATTACAATGCGTGTAGGATGTGTACATATAGATTGTAAAATAACAACTTATCTTAGTAGATTTTCCAATATGTCTTAAAAAATTACTCAAATTGTATTGTAATTTGGTATTGGTATACACTGATTTGTAATTTTACTCATCCTTTGTTTTGCAAAACAATTGTAATTGTACAAAAAATTTTAACAGTGTACATGATTAAATTATATATAGTAAATCAAATAGCAAATTTTGGTTAGTAATTTTATTGATTATCTTACTAAAATTAAATTCCAAATTTGTATAGAAATTTTACAAAATTTCAAATTCGTTTTTATTAAACACTCGCTTGTGCTTAGTAAAACTCGTAACTAAAATGGCGTTTATACAACTTGATACATAATATTCTATTTTACTTTTTAGTCGGTAAGATTGTTGTTTATTTTCTATAATCTAATTTACTCCTTAAACCGTCTCTGTACACATGTACAAAACTACGCCTATCGAAACAAAATTTATCATCGTCCAAATAATAAAAATCCCAACAGATGCAGACAAAAGCAGACTACTTATTATGTAATAAGCGTGTAAAATATTCATGTAATCTAAGACATAGGCAGAATTTTAACATTTTTTTACACACCTTTTGAATTCTGTAGTTGGCAAAAATCGGAGGATCCTTTTGAAAAATTTGCATGCAAAAGATTTGTGGAATGCAAAATTATACCATTTGTTAGAACAAAAAAAATAAAATTTTATTTAATGTAGCATAAATGGATATAATAACAATATTTTAGAATGTTATAAAACTCCTATTATCGTACATGTTTTTAGGAGGCATTCATTGAAACATTTAATAATATTTAAATTTATGGAAAACTTCTTATACATGTATATTTCCTGATAAAACTTATTTCTTGATACTACTTAACACAAATATTCTCTCGAGGGCATGTTAAAGCCTTGGTGAAACCCAAGGAATTTAAAAAAAATTGAAAAAACAGGATACTATACGATACGTGAGCAAGAAATAAATATAACTCATTTATATTAACATCTACATCACTTCCCAAATGGATTTTACAACACATTTATTTATACAAAGTAGATACATTTTATTTGGTTTAAAAATAACAATCTGCGGTTTTCTTGCGATTTAACTCGTCTCCGTAGTTTTGCAGATTATCATTGTTGTCATCGTTAAGAGGTAGTGAGAATTGTTGGGTATGAGATATGGTGCGGCTTCTTCTGAACTCTTTGTTGTTTCGGTCTTTTATCGAACTGTATTTTCGTTTTATTTCGGTCTGTACTTCGCTGTTCAATAGGCAGTACACCAGGGAAGCGAAAAATCCCTAAAATAATATTTCTACCCTCAACCCTGATAGCAAAATTTGATTCTAAGAATCTTCTAAGAAGATATGACCCGGAATAATGGAATATTCTTAGAACCTTCTCTGATTGCTAAGAATGTTCTTAGGGACTTTTAAAACATTCAATAGATACCCTTTTAATGATGCAATTAGATTCTTAGAAGCTTCTTAAAACCTTCCTAAAAAGCATTCTAAGAACATTTTAAGAATGCGTTTTTGGAATGTTCTTAGAAGGTTTCTTATGGAGCTTATAGGAAGCTTTTGAGAATATTTCCAAATATGTCAGATACCCACGTTCTAATATGTTGGATTCTACATTCGTAAAATTCTTCAGGAGGCGACAAATAGGCCTCACTGTCATAATATGACAGTAAAATGTATCTGTCGTCCCCTTAAAAAATTTTGCGACATATTAATATATATTTATTTAAAAATATTAAATAAACAATTTCACCTCTAAACCATAAGTTGTGTGACATTATTTCATAAAAAGTAAAATTCGAAAATTTTGTGGGATAAGTCAGATTAGATTGAAGTTGAAGATAGTTAGAATTATTATACATAAAAATGTTAATTCAGATATAAAAAATCGGTATATAAATTAATAAATATTTATTTTTAACATAAAATAAAATATAAAAAAACAAAATATTTCCTTATAAAATAATTCTTCATAAAAGAAAAAACCAAATAGTTCTTCATAAAAAAAAACATTTTTCATTGTATTTAAGTTGGATAGAAGATTTTATGGAAAAGCCGGATAATTTAGATACCTATAGTAAAAGTATTTTTGTTATCAAATATTGTTTTAATTTGACAAATAACTATAAAAAAATATTTTGGGTTGTGTTTTTTACTTAGCATTTAATACTAAGTATAGGTACCTTTATACGTAGATTATGGTATATTTTACTATTATGTAGGTACCTAACTGAACTGAATATGCTTAACAGAATGTTCCTGGAATATTCCTGAATGAACTTTCTATAGCAATTACTTTCTCAACATTCTAAGCATATGTTTAGAGTGGATTAATTTTTACCTTTAAACTTTGCACCTTTTAAGAACCTGCCTTTAGGCCAGTGAGAATATTCTTAGGATTATGCTATATTTCTTTTAAGCATGTTCTTTAGAAGAAATATAACATGATCCTAGGAATATTCTCACTGGAAGGTATAAAAAACATTCTTAGAATATGACTAGAAGGAATATAGCATGATCCTAAGAATATTCCCACTGGAAGGTTTAAAAAACATTCTTAGAATAAACTGTGCTATCAGGGAAAAATTAAAGATTGTAAAACTTGTTTTACCTGAAATGCCGAAAAAGTTTGATCAAACAACAGCCAGGTTAACTCTAACAATTGACTTGAATTCACCCAAAATTGTAAGCAGAATGATATAAAATACGGAATGCCAAATAACGGTATAAGAATCAATGTAGATTTGAGCAATTTCCTGAAAAAATATTAAATAATTTCAAAAAAATACCGATGAATAACCTCACCTATATTTGATCCTTCTCTGCTGAATGCAAATCATGTTCAACTTCAGAAATAAAACCCTTACGATAAGTACGAACAAAATGAAGTTTACCTAAAATAATACTACAATTAGTGACTTTATTTTACCTTTATTAGCACTAATTACCACAACTGTAACACCAATAGGAACATCAAGCAAAAGAGTGATTTTATTCTTTATGGTCCAACACATGGTGTCATCATATACAGCCTGCATAATCACCCATAAGTTAACAAAAATAAATGAGATTCCTGAAAATACATTTTTTATTAATGGAATACAGAGTGAAAGATTTGTACCCCATCCAGCTCCATAGTAAATACTGACGTCATGGTTATCGGAAAATAAGTTCAAAAACATCAAATTGTGAAGATACATCCCTTCCATCAACACCATCATGAAATTTGACACTATGAAGTAGTTTCTAAGGCTCACGATGGCCTTGCACACCCAAGACTAAAACATAGAGACCAATAAATTTAAAAACAACACCACAAAACATACATACATAGTGTGTTTTTGTAAACTGAGCTGCACCATTTTCAAAGTCGACCTCATTAACCAGGGCAGTCCCTTGGACGAACAAGGCGTCATTAATGACGAACATAGCAGCCTTAAGTAAGAATGTCATGAATAGGTGTATGTGTAACGTATTCCTCTGGCAGTGGAGTCTCCTAGAAGAACATCTAAACAATTACTTACAAACATTCCTATGTGTATCTCACTTTATGCCGATAAAGATAAGTAGAGCTACTACAAGAGACACTATGGAGAGTATGTATCCAAAGTACGATATGTTTTTGATGATGGGTAACCACTTGTTGTAGGTCAAGTCTTTTAAGTCCAATTCGCCACTTTTGTAGTCAAACCACATCATCCCACATAGGGAATAATTGGTGTAGTGCGTTGCAGTGTCGTTTGATCTTGAATACCATGTCCCGTTCGGTGTACACAACTTTGATGCTTTTGCCTTAAAACCTGGTTGACCACATCGCAAACAAACTTCAAACAAAAACACTCACCTGAAGCTTACTGTTGACATAATCGTTGGTGCAACTTTGGTAGGAAGTTTCTCCAGCTTTTGTGGGGGGCCAACACATCAGACTGTCGAAAACGGCTTCACAATAACCCGACAAACTGGCGTCCGTACCGTTGTATCTTCTGTAGCAATTAATTTCGGCCATCGCCAAAATCATCTCCGAATAATTGTTCATGCTTTGTGTTCTGGTTCTCCTGTCGAACGCGCATAACTTAATGCAAAAAGAGCGACAACAAGTTTTGTTCATTAAGTAATTGATACATGGGCGTATGTTTGGTGTCTTTCTGCAAGATGAATTGATCCAAATATACCGGGTGGAAGGATTTAAAAATGTAAACCTTGAAAGGGTCAAAAAGCAGGTAGCAAGAAACTAATATTTCATTGTCATTGTTTTAATCTTCTTTAATCTGGAGTTGTTAAAACATCGTGTATCATTTGATACGTACAAATTTGAACTGATAGGGTGAGATGTGTAATCAAACAAATATTGTGTACAAATCATTTGTGGTGTTTTTTCTTATTCTTTTACTTGTTTCGGCCTTACTACGCATATGCGGGGAGGGTTTATTGGCTTAATAAACTGCTTGAATATAAGACAATTAAGACACGTGCCTACAATTGTTGAACGACCCCTTTCTTACGGGTGATTGATAATAATATTGTTATTGCCAGTTTTAATAACAAATTATATCAACATTATCTACAATGATATCACTTACATAATTTGTTTATATGAATTTTTAACTTTGTTTATTACAAAAGACATTGGCGCATCCTCCATTTTTTGTTTATAATAATAATTCTTGTATTATTGTATTTTTCAAAAATTAATTTTTAGTTTTTAAAATACCACTCCCCCCTTTTTTAACTACTGTACCCAGGTTACGTTCATTTATAAATGTATACACACATAACAACTTTTTAAATTATTTATTCCTTTTTTGACCCCAGGTGCCACCACTGGCCGCTGTTGCTATGAATGTCAGTATAAAATCCATTACTTGGAAAAAGTAAACATAAACAAATTTCTTTCTACAATGATAACAGGTTTAGTGATTTTTCCATCCTATATCTTATGTTGTAAGTGATTGAAGCATATACAAATTATGTTTTTGGGTAAATATTAGGTTTATGACACTTTCAATAATTTGTTTGCAATGATTTTATATTTTGTTTTTGGTTTAAGTGCATTACTGAATACATTTTACTAAAAGATTAGTTTTTTTAATACTGATAATAACAAAGTATGTTTATAATAAACAGGCCCGGCTTGTGACCTGTAAAGGGCACTATACTGGAAAAAACTGGGATTTTAAAAGTAGTTAGTCAATTTCACGAGATAAATTTTGATCTTCACAGAAAAATTTGACAACTACCTAATTGTTATTTTAAAATATACATGTAGATGTCGCTTTTTACAAATATTTAAATAAATTAGTAAAACATTGTATTTTATACCTAATAATATTTGTCGTAGAAAAAGTATACGAGGTGTGTTCAGAAAATATAGGGAATTTTAGTTTTTTGAAACAAATATTTATTTATTCGTCTACATTAATTTTGTCGCCTTCAAAAAGTCCCCATTGGATATTATGCACATGTGCCAGCTCTTCTTCCAATACTCGAAACACTTCTAAAACTCGATCTTTGGGATAGCCTTTAGTTCTTTCAGCGATGCGCTTTTAATGTCATCTATGCTTGCAAAACGACGGCCCTTTAAGGTTCTCTTTATTTTTGGAAATAGGAAAAAGTCAGGCAGAGGCATGTCTGGAGGCTGGGGCATCATTACAGTATTTTTTGGCCAAAAATTTTGTTCAAAATTTAACAATTTTAGAACAAATTTTGCTGCCTCGCGTTTCATACCCAAAACATTCGAAAAAATTTCATGGGATGAGCCAATCGATATACCAACATCATCAGCGACTTCTCTGATGGTTTATAACCATTTCTTCCACTTTTTCCATGTTTTTATCGGTTGTTAATGTGCTTGGGCGTTCGGGGCGTTCGTCATCTTCAACGTCTTCACGGCCATCTTGGAAACTCTTATACTTGTAAACTCTTGTTTTACTTATAGCAGACTCACTATAGGCCTTTGTTAACATTTCACAGAATTTATTTAATTTTTTAAGCAAAATTGGATACAAATTCTTTGATCCCTTTCTTTTAACGAACGAAAAATCGCCGAGCTCATAAAACACGTCTAACCTTAGCGGCTGCCATAGGCAAAGTAAACAATGAAAACAGCTAAAGTTTTTATCATACTTTGGGAGCATGTATACCAACATAATAAAGAAAATTTTATGACAACCGGACCCTCTGAACCCGCGAAATTTAACAATTCCCGTTATTTTCTGAACACACCTCGTACATAATATACTATTTTAAATATGCCCAAACCCGAAAAGGTAGTAAAAAACATTTAGTATATAAAATTAAAACCTTTATTGTTTTAAATATAATTGATTGATAAAATATGGCAAAACATCAATTGGGGCACTGTAATTTCTAATCCAAATGGGACCATTATAAATTGTATCAGTATTTCCATCTTGCCATAAACCAGATGGTAAATAAACATCTCTGGACGAGGCATTCGGTTCCACCACTGGAGCCACCAAAATAGATTCACCCAACAAAAATTCTACAAAAAAATATGTTTGAAAACATACGATTTTTTCTTTAAATAGAAATACCATCATTTATTTTGTGTGCCTCTTTGTTCATTGGGTCCACCCACCAAATGGGGGGATTTACAGGGGTGCCAGTTTGAATAGCTCTATCCATAGCATTGATTATTTCATATGAATATTTGGCATGTAGATCAATGGTCTTTCTGACTATTTCTTCAGCGTTAAACTGTAAAATTATTTATGATTTTAATATAGTACTTCAATTTGTGGTTTATATACTTTTTGGCTGGTTATTTCCCATGGCAAATAACTGAACTGCATTGAAGGCATAAAAACGTTAGCCTGTGACCACCGAACCAAAAGTTCAGCGTCTGGTGGTCCGTTGTATCCGTTTCCACCAATCATGTCGGGCAAAACCCTGAAAATATAATTATTAAACTTGTTTAAAAGAAAAAATTGTACTTGCATAACATATCCATTTAAATTCATTTGCAGCAAGGTGGTTATCAAAGTTTTTAAACCATTGTCAAATCCCCAGTTTGAGTCTTTATCCAACATTCTCACGAATATTGGTAAATATTGAGTCCTAAAAATATCTATAAAATATTTATTTGTAATTTATTTTCTTGCTTACTTCCACGAAGACCTCACTTCTATTAAATCTCCTAGTCTTGAACAAGTTTCGATGTATTTTTTTGAAAGAATGTTTGGTGCTGAATCTATATTAACGTTTTTGTATACTGCAGGCTAAAAATTACTATATAGTGGTCTGTATAGGATTCCAAAATGAACCTACTTGGTCGACATAATCAGTTTCTCCAGCATCAAATTTAAAACTATCAATACCATGATTTTTCCTCAACTTTTCCAAACGATTCACGTACCAGTCTTGAGCCTCTGGTTTGGTAAAATCAATTTGGTGTGAATCGTCGCTATCCCACCAATAGGCATGGTCGCTTCCCTGGTCGTTTTCAACGAAATAGCCTGGAAAAAGTTGCAATTGTACATACAATTAGAAAATTTTCCAATGGTACCTTTCTTTAAACCCTCCTGTTCATTTGGGTTACAATTTTTATCAACAAAAGGATGCACCCACAGTGTCACCCTGAAATTCTTCTCGTGGAGACTTCTAACAGTTTGAGTTATATTTGGGAAGGTAATAGTACTAAACTCCTGTGCACCATAACATTTCTAAAAACGTTTAATAGATTTGTTTATGATTTAAAATATTCAAGTCACCTCCCAAGCATCATCAATTTCCAACTGCCCAGCGTATCCATGGGCAACTATATCATCAGCAAAGGAAAGAACGATATCATCGCTGATGTTCTTCTTGTATTTTGCCCACGTTGTCCAAATGGGTTCCCTGATCATTTTCTCGTTGGGGTGACCTAAGAAATGTATGATTAACTATGTAAATATCCCACCATGAAACCAAAAATACCTTTGGGTTTGCCCAGAATGTAATTAACTGCGTATAAATGGGCTTCTTTAGGAGTAGCAAAGAAGCCTATGTTGAGGTTAAGGCTGGTCTAAATATAATACAAAACAAATATTTATATTGTGTATAAATTAGTGTTTTTATACCCTGTCTCTTCCTACATATGGTCCCGATACATTAGCGATAAAACAAACATGGTTTTCGACGTGGTTATTTTGATCTATCCAAAGAGGAGTGCCTTCTTCTATATGGATGAAAACACCTTTGGAATTCAACCAGTATGGTTCAATAACGGCAAAATTATCCAAATATGATAAAGTCCATGGTTTATTTTGAATAACCATTTCTTCCAGAGGCCAGACTTGCTCTTTTCTGCAAGAAAAATAGGTACTTCTAATTTCACAACAAATGAAGTTGTATTTGGTTCACCTTTCTGGGCCACCAAACCAATGGGTGTTGGTCCTGTTAAGATCAAAACATGATGTAATTACACCACCAGTTTTACTAGATTCAAAACACAAGTTTAAAGTGTTTGAGGACTTGGCCACTTTTAAAGAAATATCATCAGTATCTCCATTAGATATTTTTATGGTGCCGCTTAATAAAATATCATTCTTACGGTTATCTAAATGGCAAAAATGGCGAATTCGCGGGGATATTGTCAAATTTTAAAAAAATGGTGGATTCACCGTAAATAAAAAATGTTACCTTTAGCAATTAGGATGTCAGCACCGTCTATGGAAGGGTTGTACTCAAAATGATATTCTGCATTTACATGCAGAATTAAGGTTAAATATAAAAACTCTAAAATATAAATTTTGTCAAAAACTATTTTTGAAATTTGTTTGATATTTCTCACCTTTAATCATATTGGATAAACCTTTAATGATAAATTTAATTTGGCACTGATGTTTTTATAATAATATAATTTTTATATTTATTATCTTATCGTTATTCTAATAAATACTTATACCTACCAAAATACATTTTATTTTTTTTATTTATATTTTTAAAGACGTATATAGCTAAGCGATATCATTTTTTCGCTATAAATAATTTATAGCGAAAAATAATAAACTTTTATTTAAAAAAATCCAAGAGACTATAGTTACTCCAAAGAGTTTGATAAACAGTAGGCTGTGACCTCAAATTCGGCAGTGCCAATGTAGTAAAAATAAAACGTTGTAATTTAATTAAGAAATTAATACTTTATTACAAATTATAGTATCATTAAAAACTAAAAACAACATTAAAAGTAAATAATTAACAATATAAATTGTTAATTTGTTGTTATAATGTCAAAATAAAGGTTTAAAACTGTCACATTTTTGTGTTTTTTAAGTTGGCAGCACGAAATTTGAAATGACAATTTCGAAGTGCTAAAAAATAGTTTTTTGGGATTTTAATAAATAACCAATTTTTAAGCCATGATTATGTTATGGTTTATTTTTTTAAGAAAATAAATAATTTTCTTGGAATCTGCGCTGTAAAAACATCTAAAATTATTTGTGGATTTACCTGATGCCTCAAAAAATTATGTTTTCAATTTTGACATTTTATGAAAACACTTCAAATGGAGATACTACTGTAAGTATAAATTATTTTATTAAATTAGAAATAGATATAACTTTATACAAGATTTATTTACAAAAAAACAGTACCTCTAGTATAATAAATACATATCTACAAGTCACTCAAATGTTGGTAACTCTTTTTTTAAACCCTCTAAAAACATAATTCGATTAACTAAATTGGTTTTGCTACATTGTTTTAAATATTTTATTGCATAATCTATACATTGTTCTGCAAACTCTATATGAATTTGTTTGCTGGAGTCCTTTTTTATTGCTTCTAAATTTTCTTCCGGAACTAATTCTTCCATATCATCACAAAAATCTGTTGGCACCTCCTTGGTACTCTCTATTGGTTGTGGAAAATCTTCATCTGACAGGCGAAGAACCTGTGAAAAGTGAGGTTAAAACCGCTTGACAGATGTCAGATAAAATGTCAAATATAATAATTACCCCTTTGTCTTGGTGTGTTATGGTTTTCTTGATGACATTTTCCTTCTTATTTTTATTTAGGTAGGTTTCACGTTTTCTACGCCTATCATGCTTTTTCCTGTATTCAACTTGGCAATTTTCACACCGCTTGCCATTTGAATGAAGTTTTTTAATAAAATAAATCTGGGGGCATTTCTCTGTGTCATCGCTGCCGATGCAAACTTTTAACCCATACCCCACTTGCTCCAGTATTCTGTAAACTTCATTAAAACAAGAAGGTTTATCGTATACGGGGAAAGACGCAAGTTTGCCAGTGCATCTTAACTACAAATTAAACATTAAAACATTTAATATGGGGTTATATCCCGATATTTTCATAAATATTAATTAACTAGTTTTATAAATAAATAACAGTAACTGACAGCGAATTCAGCGGTGCCAATGTTGTAAAAATAAAACCGCTTAAAAATCTTCTGTTTTCTGAAATCTGGCAACCCTAACCTCAATTGACATATCATCTTTGACATGAACAGTTCTCCGTGGACCAGCGACGTTGTCAGGTGCAAAAACGAACATTAAACCACCACTCGATAACTCCATCCCCCAGGCTGCAATAATTTCGTTTTTTGCCTTAACAAAATTAGCTGCATGCCAATCGTTTATTAATGAAATCAGAGAGTAACCGTCGGTCACCGAAATCGTCATCATGGTTCACGATTGATTTTTATCTTCGCCTATTTAATACATTTTTTCCCGGCACACCAAAATATACCCCACAGAACATAACCCCCTCAAAACAACAACAATGCGCGGTCAGCGACAGTGTTGCCAGGTTGCTTTTTAAAACTAAAGTTCTTTTTTTTATCTGGACTGCGGCAACGTTGCAAATTTAGGGTTTTTGTTGGTAAATACAGTTGTCAAGTTGGTCGCATTGATTAAAACAAACTAAGCTAGTTATAAATTTAATTGTGGTTATGTTATAAATTATTGTAGGTTACATTGTGCAGTTGTCAAGTTGAGTTGTCGAAATTCGTAGTTAAAAATGCAATTAATTTGGCTTTGGTGGTGCTTGGATGAGTAAAATCATATAAAAAAGTAGTTAAATATAGGTTGCTTTACGTCCCAGAAGAGAAAGTATTCCTAGCGGATAATAATCTTCGCTTTAGAATTTATATAAAAGAAATTAAAATTTTTTTGAACGTAAATGTTGTCCAATGGTGAAAAATGTGTGATGTAATATTTATAAAACCAAATTCGTTACTTTTTTACTCCAAAAATGTCCATAAGGCGATGTACTTTTTCTTCCATTGTGGCATTTGGCATACATTTTTCAAAATGAAGTTTTGCGCTCAAAAGGGCTTTTACATTCGAATTCGTTGCTATTATTTTTGGCATAATTATCTTTTTATTTATAATTGAAAAGTAAATTATCAATATTAATATTAATATTATTGTCAATTTGACAGTGTCAAAGTATTTAATTAAATTTTTTAGCATAAGCCACCAACCTAACAAAAAAACACGAGTCCAGATAAAAAAAAGAACAGTACCTACCTAATTTTTATGGATGAAAAAAAAAACAGTCAACTACTAAATAAAATGTTTATTTTACGTATTGTTCAATAACAGCTGTCTTTTAATTTCAAATACTATTATTCCTACCGCCATACCATTGTTTAAACTTTCTACATTATTACTTAATGGTATATTCACCCTCACACCTTGATATTCTTGAACAGTCTTATAGCAATCCGAACTTATTCCTTCAGATTCACCGCCTAAAACATAACAAACAAAATATATATAAAACTGTAGTTTTAAATTACAAAAAAGCAATATTACCAACTATGACAACATTATGTTTGGTTCTATCAAATTTAATACCATAATATGGCAATAACGGTATAGATATTTGCGTTGCTTCCAAATTGTTATCAGCCACAAATAAACCTGCATTTTCACCCAACAACCCTTTAATTTTTTCCCACTCCAATCTCTGGTGTATCTGGAGCCTAAAATGGGCCCCGGAGGAGCTCCTCAATACTTTACTGTCCCACAAGTTTACACAACCTAAAAAAATAATATCCGTTGAATATGTTGTTTAACTTTTTTGCAGCATTAATACCTTTAGTTAAAATTACTTTTTCGCACCCTACACCACTGCAGGCCCTTAAAATAGCCCCTAAATTGCTAGGGTCCCTAACATTATCACATATTACAATTAAGGGTAAACTGTTTGGACTTTTGAATGTTTCCACCTTTGGTGTGTGGAAAATACCTTAAATATACACAAAATATAACATTTTATATAATATTTAATGTTTATTACCCATAATTCCAGGATTTGTAGTCAATTCGGACCATAACTGCATTTCCTTATAAGGCATTTTATATAATTTAGAACCCAACTTGGGAATATACGGTTTCAAGTATTCCACGTCAGACATTCTACTGAATAAAATGTATTCCAGCTTACAACCGCCTAGTAAGGCATCCTTTATTATTCTTTTACCTTCCAGTAGTATTTTTTCTGGATTCATTTTCTCCTTTTTACTTTTTAACTTGGTCAAAATCGTTCTACAATAAACATTACAAAACTATACACCACATGAGTAACAACGTATTACCCCACTCTTTGGTCATTATCCTTCATTTTGGTGTACACCAAATTCCCTTCGCTATCGATTACAGTCTCCAAAACATCCGTCACCACAGGTTTCTTCTGCTTCGAAGATATGGTAAAAGGCGCCACATTCTTCCTCGCTTTAACTTGAAACTTAACCTCCTTTTCAACCCTCTCGACCTTATCACGACTTGTTGTGTAAACTTCTTCAAACTTTTGTTCGTGCTTTTCCTCAAATTCCTTTTCTTCTTGCTCTGGCGACAGCACGTTTATCGGCCTTCTGTGGCTCCATCTCGGCAAAAAACGCACTTGCTGGTGTAATACTTTGTGCAACGCGTTCGGAATTAGAGATGCCATTAATGTTTGAAATTCTGATGGGGGTTTTGAGTTTTTTGAGGTTATGTGTCGCGAAAGTTGGGTTATGTTTACTGTCAAGTTGGGGATTTTGAGGCGGTTATGTTGGCACTATGGTTTTCATTTTTTAAAACTTTTTTATTTTTATGACGATAATTTGTTAATAAGCAATAAAATATTATTAGCTTTTATAAGGTTATAATATTTTACATATATAGCGAAAGCAACTTTAACTTGGACTATTGCATTTTGTGATTTTTTAAAAATGAGCACTTTCTGCGTTTCTTTTTAGTTTTTAACAGAACTATTTTATAATAGTGATAAAGACGTTAGTCTATTTTCTACACATTTTAAGAGATTTCCAAATCTGGATGAAAATCAATTCACACTTGAAGAAGTTAAGGAATTATTAACAGAATAAATTTTAAAATTCAAATTATGTTCATTTATTTTTTAAAGTGTGTTTAAGATAATTAAAAAAAAACATGAACAAATTTATTTACAATAAAAAAAGTTTTGAACTATTTTTGCAATCGTTTCACCGCGAAAATCTAAAAAATGCATTTTAAAAATAAAGACCTTTATTTTTTTATTAAAATTTATTTATACCTACTAAGTCCTATTTAACTCTGTTAAAAATAAATATTTCTTTGCAATAAAAAAGTTTTTTGATTATTTCCTTAATTGATGCCCATCTAAAACGCATTAAAAAAATAAAAACCGTTATGTTTTTTGATTAAAATATAGTTAATAATACGTAATAAGTCTTATTTAACAAAGTAAAAAATAAAAAAAAAATATTTTTTGCAACAAAAAAATTATTGGGTTATTTCCGCAATTGACGCATTTAAAAATTAAAAACCTTAATGTTTTTTTATTGAAATATAGTTAATTATACCTAATAATCCTTATATAATACAGTAAAAAAGAAAAAATTTGATATTTATTTTGAATGAAAAAGTTGGTGAATTATTTCTGCAAAACGTGCTTAATGATATTCGAAAAACGCATTTAAAAAATTAAAAGCTTTAAAATTTTCGATTAAAATATAGTTAATTATACGTTATAACCTCTATTTAACACATTAAAAAGGCAAAATTAATATTTATTTGTAATAAAAACGTTTTTTTCTCAAAACGCTGCTTTTTGACTATCTGTATAGATATAGAAATAAAACAAGGTTTAAAATATAGTATTTTTATTTTATTTGGTTTAAACGATGAATTTAACAATAATAATTCATAAAATATACATATCACTCTTATTTACAAGATAAATAACAAGAATAATGGAATCACTAATAAATATTAAGGTAACCAATTTATTATTATTATTAAGAAATATAGAAAAATAGAAAACACAACTGGTGATGAATAAAATATTAATAAAATAAGCTTTTTAAGTTTTGTTTGGCCAATTAAAAAAAATTAATATAATACAAGGAGTAAAAGGCAAAATACAGATTAAAATAACAAAATACAAAATAAAAATAAATATTTACAAAAGATTGTTTTTAATACTAAATTGACTGGAAAAATCGACAAAACCGATGAAAATTTAAGGAAACTTTAACCATTTTCATAACAAAATACTGAAATTATCTGAAATTTTTAAGCAAGTTAAAAATATTCAGGATAATAGAGGAATTACTTTATGGGTCTACATTTCTACGACATTCTACTAATGTTAATAGTTCAGTCATAGTAATTTATTTTAAAACGTCAAAAATACCAACCTAAAATTTTGACGTTTGACTGAACCATCTTTGGGAGTTTTTATATTTATTTACTCGCTAAACCATCAAGATTTTAAAATTAAAAAATATTAGATTCTCTCATCATTATAAATGGAAAACAAAAACCAATATTTTAGTTGTTATATTTCGGCATTGTTTTCATATAAAAATAGAAGAGTTTTAATAAATAGTTTGTTCTGTCAAATTACATGGCCACCTGAGAGAACCTAACTTGCCCAAAACCGTTAAAATCCAAAACCGCAACAACAAAAATGATGACCTTACTTTAATAGGGAATTTGGTTTTGGTAGTACTGTATCATGTCGTAGGTGCGGGTGCGGAAGTTGAGGAAGCTGTTGCGGATTATTTGCAGCATGTAAATGGCCGCCTCTTTGTCGCTGGCGCCCGGATTGAACCTACCGCGCAGCAACTTGATGGTTTGGCCTCGGAAACACGGCAACCCTGTGTCCAGCATCAGGGACACCAGGGAGATTATGGCTTCTTGATAGGGCCTAAAAGTATGTTGGGATTTGTCAGGGAAAAATTTCATATATTTTTTTTAAAATTAAAAATTTTGTAATTTTTTGTATATATACCTATCTTTAAAATTTTGTATGTTTTAAAAATTTTTAACATTTTGTAATTGTAAAAATTTAAAAAAAATCTAATATTTTAGGTTTTTTTTTTTTAAATTTTATATTTATAAAACAAACTGAAAATTTAAAAAAAATTTGGAATATTTAAAACTAAAAATGGAATATTTGAATTTTAAAAATTTAGGAAAACCTGTAAATTTTAATATTTTTAAAAATTTTGGAATTCCTAAAAATTTTGGATAATTTTATATTTTATAAAATAACCATTTTTTTTTGTAAATTTGAACAATTTCCAGAATTTTTAAAATTTTTTCGGTTTTTTAGACTTGGGAGAATTTCTAAAACTTTTTGTGTATTAAGAAATTTAAAAAAGTAGAACAAATTTTAAAATTTTAGAAATCGTAAATTTTTGGATATTTTTAGGTATTTAAAACTTCAAATTTATAATAAAATATTTTTATAATTTTTGAGAGTTTAAAAAATTTTAACACAATGTAATTTTAAAAAATTGTATTTTTAAAAAATTTAAAATTCTTGAAATTCTAAAAATTTTGCAAATTTTAAAATTTTTGGACATTTTGTAATTGTAAAATTTTGAAAAATTTAATATTTTAGGTTTTATAAAATTTTAAATTTAAAAAGACTAAAATTTTTGTAATTTTGTAAATTAAATTTTTTAAAAAATTTAGGAAAACCTGTAAATTTTAATATTTTTTAAAATTTTGGAAATTAGGATTTAATCCTAACTATTTTTGATATTTTTAAAATTTTGTGAATTTTAAATATTGAATAATTTTATAATTTTGGACAGGTTAAAAAATTTGAATATTTTTAAAATTTTAAATTTTTTTGATGTTTTTAAAATTTTGCATTTGCATTTTGATATTTTTAAAGAATAAAAATTTTATAACAATATACCGTAATTTTATAAAAAAAAAGAAAATTTTGTATTATTAAAATTTTTAAAATTTTGTGAATTTCAAAATTTGAATAATTTTATATTTTATAATTTCGGACAGCTTAAAAAATTGTGAAAATTTTAAATTTATTTGATTTTTAAAATTTTGCATTTGCATTTTAATATTTTTAAAGTATAAATTTTTTTTAACAATTTCTGTAATTTTATAAAAAAAAATAAAATTTTGTATTTTTAAAAAAGTACAAAGAATTTTAAAATTTAAGAACGATTGTTTGGATATTTTAAAATTTTAAAAATTTGAAAACTTGATAACTGGAAATTAAAAATTTTTAAAAATATGCATATTTTAAATTTTTTTGATATTATTATTATTAAAAATTTTTAAAACCCTACAATTTTGTAATTTTAAAAAATTTATAATTTTTTTGTAAATTTTAACATTTTGTAATCGAAAGAATTAAAAAAAAATGAGAGTTTTGTAAATTTCCAAAATTTTGAAAACTAAAAAAAATTGTAAAATACATTTTTTTTAAATGTTAAATTTTGTAATTTTTAAAATGTTGTACAGTTTTGGATAATTTTATACCTAATTTCTGTAATTTTTAAAATTTGTCCCACTATTTTTTATATTTACACTTCCGTGCGAATTTTTTTTCTATTTTTTTTTTTATTTGAACTATTGTGCGATTTTTTCCTACTATTTTTTAAATTTTAGCTACTCTGCGCGCGCCGTTGCCGTTTTATCTTTCGTAACGACAAGTTTTGGTCTACAAGTGCCACTTCGAAAAAAATGAAGTTCTAGTACCTAAATAAACGAAACTTCTTACCTTACTGCCAGATATGCTTGCACGCACAACTCCGAAAACCACTTAAACGGCGCCGCCTCCATCTTCCCGCCCATAATCATGACCATCTCGTCGGTCAGCTTGATGTCCGGTTCGAACCCCAGGTTCCCGCCCGGCGACGACTCGAACATGAACCCGAAATCGATGTGGATGATGTGCCCGTCGGTGTCCAGCATGATGTTGCCGTTGTGCCGGTCCTTGATCTGCAGCAGAAATCCGACAACGCTGTACGCCGCCATCGAGACGATGAAGTTCCTTCGAGCGTGCTGGAACTCCCTAGTGCTCTCGTCCCCGTAAGTCTTCAGGAAGTACTCGTACATCCCGATGTCGGTCTGCCGGCCCAGCTGGTCGCGAGATTTTGCGTTCGGGACGCATTCGATCACCCCACACTGAAGAATTTTTTTTGTTAAGTTAATCCACTACATAGTGACCGTTAAAAGTATGAAACAAATTATATTGTAGCGAGTACCCCTCTGGCACTGAATATATAAGAACGGCGCAGCACGGAGAGTTAGTCAAGTTTTGGTACTCGCGACGAAATAAATAAATATACGTGCAAATAAATAGACTCTTATATACAGTAGTGATATATAAATAATTAGTAGTTAAGTGTTTAGTTAGTTTTATAGTTTATTAGTGTTTTAAGTGTAATTAAGTTATAAAATAAATAGTTTAAAAATGGGGTCTTTAGACTTGGAAGAATTTCTAAAACTTTTTTGTGGATTTAGAAATTTTAAAAAGTAAAACAAACTTTAAAATTTTAGAAATCGTAAATTTGTTTGGATATTTTTTCTTAAAAATTTGTGGAAATTTGAACATGTAATACTTGGAAACAATTTTAAAAATTGTAAAATTTTAGGTACTTTTAAAATTTGAAATTTAAAAATTTGTGGACATTTTTAAATTTTTAAAAGTTTAAAAAATTTTAAAAGTAATTTTTATTTCAATTAATTTTTAACCTGAGCTCCAACCACTTTAAAAAAAAATCAGAAAAATTCCTTAAAGGTAAGAAAAAACACATTTTTTTTTTCAAACAAGGTTTTTTCTTACTTTCTTACCCTTCTAAAATTTCAGATTTTTAAATCAAAACTATCATCCCGAAAGGTTAATTTAGAATTTTATAATCTAATAGAATCTGAATTTGTTCCATTCTTTTCCCGGTTACTGTATATATCATGTTTATCTTACCCCAGGCGCTGTTGCCACAACTCTATAAGGGAACAGGTAAAGTTCCAAACCGACAGTTTGGAATACGTTTTTGAAGATACCTATCACTTGCAGGGCAAGCATGTCCTGTCTGACGTCATCGCCCACTTTAAAGATGGCGGCTTGCCACAATTCGGGACCGAAACTTTGCTCTTTCGACTGAAAATACAAACACTTTTGACGCATCGAACTTTGTTTAATAAGGAGCTAGGTGACATTTTTTAGATGACCTCGACACCTGACCTATACTTTTTATGGTTTTATTCAAGGCGTTTTGTAATTTTAAACATTTCTGTGAAATCGGAATTTCAATTGAGTTTACCGTTTTCGAGATATTTACAAAAAAAAATCTCCTAATTACGTCACTAGGCTATTGACAACGTTGCCAGCTTTTTCTATGGTTGCCAGTGTGTTTAATTTAAGATTCTTACGATAGATGGCGCCACGTTATAATATTTTAGTTTTAAAACCACTTGATCTATAATTTTAGTAGAGAAGAAGAAGAATTGATTTTTTGACGTTTCTTTTTTTCGGGTTATGTTTTTTTTTTAATTTAGATTATTGAAAATCAATGTTATTGTTATGTTATTTGTAATTGATATTAGATAAGTGATTTATTAATAACGGACTCCAAAGCAGAGGAATCTTGTGGAATGGTTGGTTATATTGAACATTCGAGCTTTTAAACAAATAAAGTAAGTACCTATAATTATAATAATATTTTGTCGTAAATTCATTTCATTAGTATAATGCCTAGTTCTTTATATTCTTTTAGATATATCTTGGACTCTAAAATATCAAACAGTAATATGATACTTCGTAATAAGGAAGATAGGTACTTAATGAATTTGGTGACCATCTTTCACTCAACTGACAGTGACAGTATTTGTACATAACCTCTTCGGGTATTTTCTGACATAACCGAATGAAATCATTAACAAGACAACTTGACAACAGGGTAATTTTCAACCAATAGAAATCTTAGAATGTTGGTCACATGGCGAGGTTTGTGACGTCATAAAAATTTATATTTTTTGTAAATATCTCGAAAACGGTAAACTCAATTCAAATTCTGATTTCACAGAAATGTTTAATATTACAAAACGCCTTGAATAAAACCATAAAAAGTATAGGTCAGAAAAAATTTAACTACCCTATTAAAAAATCTTACCGTATTAGTGGAAACAGCCATAGCAATGCTCTCCAACTCGTTTATGCCACACTTGGCAACCTTGAATTTTGCCAAGTAAGGAGCTTTGGCAGCGCTTTGCATGGGAATGCCGCTTTTATAGTCAATATCTAGCACCATGGCTTCTGGATTGCTCGGCAGATAACATCCATTTTGAACCTAAAAATAAAAAAAATACAAACTTATCTACACTCAAGTGCAAAATAATCGATCCACTCAAATTTTCGATGAATTTCAATCGCAAATAACTTTTTTATTTGATGTCGGATTTAAACGAAAATTAAAGAATATTGTAGAAAAATTAATGGACAATCGCTCACAAAAAATACTAAAAAATAGACGTACGTTTATAATATACAGGTTTAAACAAAAAGATGTTTTTTACCATAAGTTTAAGACAATCTGTAGAGTGGCAAAACCGTATATTGTTCTAAATTAAGTTTTATTTATCAAGTCACATCTATTCTTAACAGTTTTGTTTTTTGTTCACCTCGATATATTTATTTTTGTGTAAAATATGGATTTTTTTAAAAAACATTGCAATTTCCAATATTTTTCTGTATGAAGAACTAAGGTTGCTATGGTCCATCCATAGGCTATGGAGAATGACAGTGACAGTTTTGTTGAATCATCCCATACTTGGACATGTCATACACGGCTTTCAAAAGCTATCAAATTGTTTTTTGCAAATTAATGTTTAAATTTTGAGGTGTCTTCTTACTTTATAAAATGGATATGTCTCCGACTGATGTTGCCAGAGCCATTAATTTAATCCAGGACGGACGGTCACAGTATTACGTGGCAAGTGTTTTAAACGTCATAAGAAGTAAAGTACAAAGGGCAACATCAAAATTAACACATTAATTTACAAAAAACAATTTGATAGCTTTTGAAAGCTGTATATGACATGTCCAAGTATGGGATGATTCAACAAAACTGTCACTGTCATCCTCCATAGGCTATGGATGGACCATAGCAACCTTAGTTCTTCATACAGGAAAAATATTGGAAATTGTAATGTTTTTTAAAAAAATCCATATTTTCCACAAAAATAAATATATCGAGGTGAACCAAAAACAAAATTGTTAAGAATAGATGTGACTTGATAAATAAAACTTAATTTAGAACAATATACGGTTTTGCCACTCTACAGAGTGTCTTAAACTTAAGATAAAAAACATATTTTTGTTTAAACCTGTATATTATAAATGTACGTCTATTTTTTAGTAATTTTTTAAAACGTTAGCGATTGTCCATTAATTTATCTACAATATTCTTTAATATTCGTTTAAATCCGACATCAAATAAAAAAGTTATTTGCGATTGAAATTCATCGAAAATTCGTGTGGATCGATTATTTTGCACGCGATTCTTCTTACTTTGATTTTGCTGAGGGCCTCGAGGCAGGCTTTCCGCCGCTCGGGTCCCTTCGGGTACGGTCGTATCTCGCCGGAAATGTTCGTTATCTTGCCGAAGAAGTCGAATTCTCTTTCGTAGAACTGCAGCGCGGGTCCCGATAGCTCGGATAGGATGCTGGTGGACAATGCGTCCAGCGTGTCGTACAGATTTGCTACAAACATAGCAAAAATTGTATGTATGTGTGTATTGTATATTAATTAGTGGTACTTACAGTCTTTCAGTAGCATATCTTCGTCCAGATACATGTTGGTCTTCATGTTCCATATCAACTGGTGGGCCACAATCTGCGACTTCTTGGCAATGTATTTTATAAACTCGGTAACATATCCCATCTAAAAGTATACTTACATATAACGTACTAAACGTTTAAGTAGGCGATGGTTCAAACTTTTTTGTTTTCAAAAACAGTAGCACCAATGCAAAAAAATTGCATACTTTGGGGTGAATTTTAAAATTGTTAAAAAATTAGTAAGTTATTTTTTTTAGGTGTATGTACTACTACTAAATAATTGTTAAATAATATAAACAATTAAATCACAAAAATTATTATCAAATAATTACAAGTATATAGTTATAAAAACGCCAAAAATCTTAATATGTACAGAATATTATAAAATTACTTTGTGCACAAAAAAAAACTAATTTAAAAAATAGTTTATAAAATCGTATAAAACAAACTAAAAAATTATTAAATTTATGATATCTTTGTCAAATTTAAAAATAATGTAAAAATTAAAATCAGAAATATAAAAGAAAAAGTTAAAAATCAATATTACCTTTATATATGCTAAAAAGTACAAGAAATAAAATTTAAAAACCTTGTAAAATCAAAAAAGAACCTTTTGTTTTAATTTAATAATAAATTTAAAAAATAATAGAAAATTGTAAAATAAATATTGCAACATTGTTCAAAAAATATAATAAGTTTTGTTAAAAAGTTTCTTTTTGTCATAAAAGAACTATAATTTCAAACCTATTTTGCCTAGTGGTAGAAAACAAGAACCAAAAAATATTAATTTTTGTGAAATTTAAAAATAAAATAAAATATGATAATATAATAAAATTTTGTCAAATTTAAAAATGTAAAAAATCAAATCAGAAAAATAAAAAAATATATTGGGTCTGTAAAAAAGTAAAAAAATTAATATTACCTATAAAATTTAAAAAAAACCTTGTAAAGTCAAAAATGAACCTTTTTATTTAAATTTCAAAATAAATTAAAAAAATATATAAAATCGTAAAAAATATAACATTGTTTAAAAAAATCCATTTTGTTAAAAACTTTTCTTTTGTAATAAATTAACCAAAAATACTAATTTTTGTCAAATTTAAAAATAACGTAAAAAATAAAAATGTAACCTAAATTCGTAAAAAATGTAGTTATTCTCATAACATTGTTTAAAAAAATATAATAGATTTTTTAAAAAAGTTTTTTTGTGATAAAAATAATTTTGTCAAATTTAAAAATATCGTAAAAAATAAAATTGAAAAATGGAAAAATCTATTTTGTAAGTATACATATAGTTATAAAAACGCCAAAACTAATTTCAAAAATCTTTGCCAAATTTAAAAAACAAAATCAGAAAATAAAAAAACTATTATGTAAAAAAGTGAAAAAATCATTATTTCTTTTAAAAATGCTCAAAAATCAAAAAAGGTTTATAAAATTAAAAAAAATTTTTTTTTTAAACATAAAATATTTTATATATAGGTAGTTATAAAAACGCTAAAAGACAAATTTGGTAAAAATAGCTAAAAATCAAAAAAATAATCAGAAAAATAAAAGAAATGTTTGGAACATTTTAAAATCTTGTAAAATCAAAAAGAACGTTTTTTAATTTCAAAATAAATTTAAAAAAAATTATATAAAATCCGATAAAATCGTAAAATGTTAAAGTGTACAAAATATTATAACATTGTTTAAAAAAATAGAATAGATTTTGTTAAAAAAGTTTTTTTTTGTAATAAAAGAACTATAATTTCAAACCTATTTTGCAAAATGGTGGAAAAATGGAACCAAAAAATATTAAATTTTATCAAATTTAAAAATAACGTAACAAATTAAATAAAAAAAATCCATTTTGTAAGTTATAAAATTAGTAAAAAATTAATTTCAAAAATATCATTGATTAAACTTATCTTCGTCAAATTAAAAAAAAAATTAGGTATGTAAAAAAGTGAAAAAATCAATATTACCTTTAAAAATACTAAAAAGTCCAAGAAATGTTTATAAAATATCAAAACCTTTTAAAAATAAAAAACCTTTTTTTAATTTCAAAATAAATAAAAAAAACTAGAAAATTGCAAAATAAATATTATAACATTGTTTAAATGTATAATTTTAAACCTATTTTGCAAGTATATAGTTATAAGAACGCCAAAAAACCTTGTTTACATGTATAATATTAAAAAATTAGTAAAAAGACTAATTTCAAATTATTTTACAAAATCGTAGAAAGCTAAAAAAATCTTTGTCAAATTCCAAAAATAAAAAATAAACTTATATAAAAAAGTGGTCAAAAATCAAAAACTGGTTTATAAAATTTTAAAAACCTTGTAAAATTAAAAAAAAAATTAATTAACTTATTTTTTAAACATAAAATAGAGAAATTTGGTAAAAATAGCTGAAAATCATAAAAAAAATAAAAAAGCTCAAAATGGAAAATTATGTCAAAAACCAAGCAAAATAACTCACAGTATCGTGCCTCAGGGCCTGCACCAGCTGCGGTATGTAGAAAAGCACAGCGTCCGCCGGATACGAACTCAAAACCCTGACAGCGTACTGCGACGATATCGGATGCGGCGGAAACTGCCTGCTGAAGAACGCCAACGCCTGTATGGGCGATATCCTCGACCACGTCAGCATGTGGTTCAGCTTCGGGCTGTCGCTGAGCATGGCCTCAGTCGTGGCCAAGTACTGCAACGCCTCCGGGATGTGAGAGACGGCAACAGGGTTCGCCTGCACCTGGTGCCTGTTCTCGTTGATTATGGCCTCGTTGGTTCGGAACCTGAATCGCAAAGTCATGTCATCATGTCGAGAGATACTTTTATATACTTTTTATAAAAAAAAAAAAAAAAGATATCTTAGTTACTCAAAAGTATCTTAGATATTTTCATATAGTATCTCAGATACTTTCGCAGAGTATCTTAGATACTATTTAAAGTATCTTGTAACTGATACTTTTAACTCAAAGTATCTAGTTACCAGAGGTAACTAAGTTATTTTGTTTAAAGTATCTTACAAAAGTAACTAGATACTTCCAGCTCTGACGACAGTACCTTGTGGGCAAGTAGACGGCCAGTACTGGCGATATGTCCCAGGCAAGTCTGGTGTAGTCGTGCCAGTGCTTGTCGGTTATCGGTTTGGCTCGCCAAGAGGCTATGTTCTCCTCTCCCGGTATTTGCAGCTCCGGCCTACCGGTCGGGTTATGCCAAACGATCAGAAACTCGATTTCAACGGCCTAAAATTGTTTTTGGGGTATTTAATTCGATAAAAAATGTAGGAGATACTTTTAGAACTTTAATAAGTAAACTTAAAAAAATGGTTTTCATCATTAATTAATTTTTTTAAGTGCATGTAAAAATAAAAACTGCAAATTTAAAATATTTATTAATTTTTTGTCAAATTTAAAAATGTAAAAAAATAAATCCAAAAAATAAAAAAAATCTATTGGGTATGTAAAAAAGTGAAAAAATCAATATTACCTTTAAAAATGCTAAAAAATCCAATAAATGTTTATAAAACCTTGTAAAATAAAAAAGAACGTTTTTAAATTTCAAAATAAACTAAAAAAATATATAAAATCGTCAAAAATATATAACCTTTTAAAAAAATCCGTTTTGTTAAAAAAGTTTTTTTTGTTATAAATAACCTATCCCATAAAACAGACTTTTGGATAGCGCGTGCCTGAAGAAGAGTGGTATCTCTTTCTCTTTTATATAAATAAAAAAAGACGACCTGCCTTTTCACGCACGCGCTATCCAAAAGTCCGTTTTATGGGATAGGTCTATTAAATATAATTTTAAACCTCTTTTGCAAAATGGTCGAAAACTAGAACCAAAAATACTAATTTTTGTCAAATTTAAGTGTACTTTTAGTAGTTTTTGTAAAAATAAATACTGCAATTTTAAAATATTTATAAAATTTTTGTCAAATTTAAAAATAATGTAAAAAATTACATCACAAAAAATATTATCAAATAATTACATTTAAAAAATGTTTACACTCTAAAAACTTGTAAAATAAAAAATAAATTGTACAAAATACAATAACAATTTGTGTGTACAGGGTGATCCCCTATAATGTCGCCCCCCTTTAACTTTTTTATTTTAAGTTTCCCAAAAAATTTAAAAGTGTGGTTATGTAGGAACTAAAAAATACTTTTTTTCTACGTATAAAGAAAATTGGAAAATTGATCAGTATACAGGGGAAAACAAAAAGTTTCTTTTTTTTCAATGGATCGCCCTATATATGAATTTATTTTTCGATTCCTTGTAAAATTCTAAGCATATTTCATATAACATACCATATATCTAAATTCAACCGTTTCTGAAATATTCGCATTCGAAATGTCATCATTAAATGTTTTTTTAAACTGTTTAAAATCAAGAAGCCTCAGTATACCAAAATTTTTATTTAAAATAGATTACTATAGTGACATTATGTCAATATGTGTTGTTAAATAAGTAAAAATGGCGTACTCAGACAGAGAAAGAAAAACTATTTCAACTTATTATCTTAAAAATAATTTAAATATTTCAGAAACGGTTGAATTTAGGTATATGGCATGTTATATGAAATATGCTTAGAATTTTACAAGGAATCGAAAAATAAATTCATATATAGGGTGATCCATTGAAAAAAAATAAACTTATTGTTTTTCCCTGTATACTGATCAATTTTCCAATTTTCTTTATACGTAGAAAAAAAGTATTTTTTAGTTCCTACATAACCACACTTTTAAATTTTTTGGGACACTTAAAATAAAAAAGTTAAAGGGGGGCGACATTATAGGGGATCACCCTGTACTTTCTTCCGTGTCTGTTATATACAATTATTTTCAAATTTAAAAATAAGGTAAAAAATAAAATTAGATAAAAAATTAATTAATTCGTAAAAAAAATGAAAAAATGCTATCTTAAAATAAAAAAATTCTTTTTTAATTTCAAAATAAATAGAAAAAATCGTAAAAAAATATTATATTGTTTAAAAAAATGGAATACATTTTGTTAAAAAGGTTTTCATTTTGTAATAAATAATAATAATAATAAATCTTTATTTAGCAATATTGCTATAAAAAAAACATTACATAAAAGGAAAAAATGTAATAAAAGAACTATAATTTAAAACCCATTTTGCGAAATGTAAAAAAATTACGTAAAAAATCCTTGTCAAATTTAAAAATGTAAAAAATTAAATAAAAAAATTAATAAAATCTATAAAAAAAGTGAAAAAAATCAATGCTACCTTTAAAAATGCTAAAAAATCCAAGAAAAGTAAAATTTTTAAAAACCTTGTAAAATCAAAAAAGAACCTTTTTAAATTTCAAAATAAATTAAAAATATAAATAAAATCGTCAAAAAATATAAAATTGTTTAAAAAATCCGGTTTGTTAAGAAAGTTTGCTATAATTTCAAACCTCTTTTGCAAAATGGTAGAAAACTAGAACAAAAAATACTAATTAAAAAAATATATAAAATAAAATTAAAAATATATATAAAATCGTCAAAAAAATATAACATTGTTAAAATCCGTTTTGTTAAAAAAGTTTGCTTTTTGTAATAAATTAACTATAATTTCAAACCTCTTTTGTAAAATGGTAGAAAACTAGAACCAAAAATACTAAATTTAGTCAAATTAAAAAATACCCCATATTTTCCTCTCTGAAAAATGTAGGAGATAACTTTTAGAACTTTAATATGTAAATTTAAAAAAATGGGTTTTAATAACAATGGTTTTCATCATATATTAGAGACAGACAACAAAAAGTCAAATATAATAATAGCACCTCATGTGTTTTAAGAACGGTGCATGGTGTTCCTCAAGGAACTGTCCTAGGTCCACTACTATTTTTATTATTTGTGAATGATTTGTAAATCATGTAAAAAATGTATATTATGTAATGTTTATATTTTTTAAAATGGTTTAATTTTGTTTAATGAGTTTACAAATGTTTTAAAAAACTGTGATAAATATTGTACATTTAAAATCCTTTTAAAATGTACTAATATTACCTGTAACTTACTTTCTATACCTACTTATTATTGTTATACTTTATACAATTTTGTATTATATAGCAATGCTAATAACTTACCAGCAACTCCAAAATCAAGTTCCTCTTCTTCAGATAACACTTCACAAAATTATCCGCCATTGGTACTCTCTTGGACTTGGTGCTCCTCTTACTCAAAGTTGCAGTACTGGTGGACAGCGGTACCGTATTTATCCAGCCCGCGCCGGGTCGACTGAACTCCCCCGGTTTAGCCAGTTCGTTGTTTTGTATGTTCGATAGGGGCGTTGCTGGACCTAAATCTAAATCTGATGCGTCAGAAGAGAGCGAAGATAGAGAAAAGGAAATAAAGACGAGCGTGCAAAATGTTTGTTACCTCCAACATCTGACGCCTTCAAGTATTTTTTATCCGAGTGCAGGGTCTGCCAAAATCTCACCAAAGTGGTTATGTCTTCCCTGAGTTCCACCGTATTTTGACTGGGGCAAGTGACAGGCTTGCAAAAATAGTCCAGACAGCTGCAATAGATGCGCTCTCTTAAGACGTTCTTGGCTAGACTTTTCGGCAGGATGTCTCCTTGTAGTAAGTACAAACCGCAAGTAAGTAATCTACAAAATAATGTTGTAATAATTTTACAAATACCGTACCTTCATTTGCAAGCTAACCATAGGGAAAATACATTGTAACTGGACCAGATAAGTCTTAGTCAGCACGAAGCGAAAAACGTTGTAGAAATGATTTGGACGCATTTCTGAGAAGGTTCTCGCTTTGTGTTGACTGCGACTTATCTGGTCCAGTTACAATGTATTTTCCCTATGGTTAGCTTGCAAATGAAGGTACGGTATATTTTGCACAATACTAACTTAAACCTGACGCCGACGGCGGAAACGTGCCTGGTTTGGCACGGCGGTTCCTGCCCGACACACATCGCCAACGACCTGTGGATCAGACTGGCCAACATCTCAACTTTTTCGTAGCTGCTGTATTTAATCGTTTCGACGAGTTCGCAGATGAACTGCACCCAGATCGCGTGCGGCCGCACGAACGGCGGATCCGGCCCCAATTGACAACCCTCGTACGCCGCCAGAGGACTAGTGGGCGTCTCGGTGGCCTGAAACAGCCCCAACTTCTTGTTGACGGTGCAACCCCAAGCCGAAACCATCTCCTGCAGGAACCTGATCTCCAGGTCGGGTTTCGACGTAATCAGCCATTGCCAGCACTCCACAGCTGTTCTCATGGCCTCCACGGTGAATAGTTCCACTTGAGACCAGGCGATGCAATGCAGAATATTTCGATTTAATTCGTCGGTGGATATTAGTAGAGCTGTGGCTTGCCATAGAGCGTCTCTGTGTAGAGCGTCCGAACGATCTTTACAAGCCTTCCAGACTTTCTTTAGTATGTTTTCGGCTAGCGCTTCTCTACCGCCGTCATTCTCCAACATCCCTTGCACGACCCCTATGTACTTGGATCTCATAGCCGACGTGGACATGATCTTGGAGGAGTCGTTTTTGACGCACTTGGGGCGTTTCTCCAACGTACTCGTACTCAAAGGTGCGCTGTAATTGTTCAGAGGCCCGAACTTCTGTATGGACTCCAACGCCATCGATAAACCGGCGTGATGCCATATACCCGACGAGGGTATGTGGTTTATGTACTCTTGTATGTGCGATCTGGTCCACTGCGGCGCCCACTTCATGGCCTCGCTGATGATGCGGTCGGAGTTATCCGCGCAATCTTTCACGATGTTTTCTCTGGCTTCCAAGGTGTCCATCAGCTGTATCGAGTACGGGGTTTGCGGTATTCTCAGCGACGGGGTTTCCTGATTCGGGTCTATTTGTAAAGAATAAGACAGCACGTGGAGTATGTCCAGCATCGTCCACAGAACCTTGCGGCTCCAGAACAGGTGCGGGAACTTCTCCACCAAACTGACGAGGAACTTGTCGGAAACCCTGCGGATCACCTTGTGGGGGTGGTTGAAGTTCACCAACAGAAATTGAGCGTGTTGCTCTAGGTCGGCCTCGCGCGCTTCGTCTTTCGGCCGGTTTTTCATCACGTCGAGGAACTTCTCGAAAACGCGCTCGCTGACCGACGATACGCATATCCACATGCCCGATTTGTCTTTTTGCAGGGCAGAGTCGCTTAGGTAGTCGGATATTATCGGGACTAGGCTCGGTTCTCCCGAATATTGAACCCTAAAGATAGATAATTAATCTCAGAATTGCTACATCACTTCAGAACTCGCTATGCCATCCGGAAGTATTCCTTCCTGAGAGTTTCAGAGCTAAGCATTACAAAAGTAAGAGGAACAGGTAAAAGAAGAATAAGACCCTGTGCAGACAGAAGAAAAGGCACAGGCGCAAGAAGTGTGTAATAGTGTGAAATACTATGTAACTGCTGTAATGGGCACGATATATGGGAAATATGAGATTAAATTTTAAATATTTGTTTTAAATTGCATTAAGTGTTGAATAAAAGTTTTCACTTTAGAATTCGATACATTTTTTATTTTGTTTATTATGCTATAGTAATTTATGATTCTCATATGGCCGACCACTTAAGGGCTCGTTACAGAAAGACCAAATAAGCATTTTTTGGTACAGTTCCTAGACAGTTTTTTTGTTTGAAGAGAATAGTTGAATTCTTTAATTGTTGTAAGGGAGTGAATTTAACTCTTTAATAACCAAGATTAATGTTTAAATGTAAAATCAGTTTGTATTATAAATAGTTGTGTAATAATTTATAATAATCTAAGGTCACAAACATCATAATGGAGTATTAATTATTTAATATTTAATTTAAACTATATTTCCATATATTAATATTATTTCATCTTGTTCTTTGTGAAAAAAGGAATAAGCCGGACTTTGTATTTAAAGGGTTGTGGTTGGACAAACCAAAATACATATTTATTATAATCATTATTCTACGTTCATCATTACAATGTTTACATTTTACTTTAACATATTATATTTTAGTGTAATCAGAGTTGCAAAAATGTTAATGTAAAAAATAATGCCATCGCAATCGTAAATGAGAAATATTTTCATTACACATTAAACAATTAATGAGTAATACATTAAAAACAATGTGTAATGAAAGACATTACCCATTACATCAGTGAAAAATGATCAGGGGTAGTTTGTTGATGGGCAGGGCCGAGCCTAGGGTATCTGCCGCCCGGGTGCAAGAATTAAATTTGCCGCCCCCATTAATGTAAAAAAATTAGGTTGTCGGTAGGGAAGGAGTTCATAATTTATCATTCTCAATAAACATATAACAAATTTTATAGTAAAATAACAAAGTATATATTTATTAACAAATACATAAAAGAATAAAATAAAAATACATTCAGGAAAAAAAAACAAAAATAATTAAACTAAACTAAAATCTACTTTTCTCGCTTTTTTAATAGCAAATTCCCTAATCAAGTCGCCTACATCCAAGTTGTTAAAAATATCTTCTTCAATACTTATAATTGTTAAATTTGAAAGCCTGAATTGACTCATATTGGATCTTAAATAGGTCTTAATTAGTTTTAATTTCGAAAATGACCGCTCTCCATGGGCAACAGTAACTGGCATCGTCAAAAATATAATAAGCTACAAATAAATTCGGAAAGATGCCTTTTAAATCATTAACTAGTTTTTAACTTAAACGCATTAAAAGACAAAAGAAACTACTATGTTTGCATCCTATTTGCCTCACGTTAATAGAAAAACTAAAAATTGCTGAAATACGCTGCCGTCAAATCGGAAGAAATTATGCTTTAACTTAACAGTTCAGTTTGTAAACAATATCACGTGGTACACAGCGCGCGATTTGATTGGTTTCCCGTAAGCCCGCTTCCGTTAAACATGAAACTTGACGAACTCGAAGCGGACGGACGGAAAGCGAAGCGGGCGGGCGGCAATCTATAAACCGGGCTTTAAGAAAATTGTCATCATCATTTTTTGTGGCTATCGCGCGTTCGGTCTTTTTTATCATTGCCGCCTGACAGCACAATTTTGGCATTGTTTTTATGTGTAGAATAAAAACGATGATTCCTTGAAACACCGACATCAATAAAACGCAAGTGATTTTTAAAAAGTTTTTTGCATATTGCAAGGTGGCTTTTTTATTCTTGATAATATGAAATTTTTTTGATGATATTTTGCCGCCCTGTGTTAGTGCCGCCCGGGTGCCATGCACCCCTTGCACCCCCGGCACGGCTCGGCCCTGTTGATGGGGTGATTTTTTATATGGGGAACTTTACACTAAGTCTGACAGTTTGATTTCTTTTATTTTTCGAACTTTTTAAGTACACAGTTAAAATCCCTTTCTGGTAAAGTTTGACATTTTTTTGATTAGGTACTCCTTCAAAAGATATTGTTTAATTGTTTTTTTTTCAATTTTCGGAGGTTTTTGACGTTTTTGAGTATGGCTTGAAATCTAATTGATCGATTAAATTGAAGGTATTTAATCCCTCTAAAACTTTCTTTTACATACTTATGATATTGGATAAGTATTTTGACGCTAGCGAAAATTTACATATGGTCATGGGACAGGTTTAAATCAAACAGATAACTCCAGTTTGATTTTTTTTTCGTGAAGCTGACATTTTTACAAAAAAAACAAGCTAATGTTGATAAAAATACATGGAAAAATGGCGAAGTTATGAATTTTTTAGTGGAAGACCAAAATTCAGCTTTTTGACGATTTTTATTTTATTTTGTAATATACTTATTATTTAATGAAAACCTAAATAAAGTTCATGATTGGAATTTTTTGAGTTTTTTACGTACTTTTTTTACCGAAAACATTATTCAAAATTTAAATTCGACATGACTCCGCAAACGAGAATTCTTTTGTTTCTCTTGTTGGCATAGTGACATTTTACTGATATTTTTTGATATTTCAACAAGGTATTTTAACCATGGTTTTATTTAGTTGTTTGGTCAAATCGATCAAGTATACTCGTAAACGTCAAAACACCTCAGAAAGAGATTAGAAATCAGAAAGGATTTTGAAGAAGAATGGCGGTACTTTCAGATGGCGTAACGAGTTTTAAGAAAAAAATAAATGCCTTAAAGCCAAAACTGCGTTTTTGACTTTTGGGTGGAAGTTCTTGAAATTCGGATTTAGATTCTGGATTCGAAAAAACATAATTTGTTAAATGATACTAACCTCAAGGTCTCCACCCAGTACACGCTCAGCAGAAACGTGCACTGCGCGAAAGACAGCTTGTTGACGTAGGCGGCGACGTCGGCAGGATGCTTCAGCAAGTCCAAGATCTGCGTGCGCAGCTCCTGCAGCTCCGTGATGGAAACGCTCTCGTTCCTCACCGCGCTAGTGTACTGCAGCTCCCTCATCTCCGACCGGCTAGAGGTGGGCGACACCAGCGCCGGCGACTTGACGGCGATCTCCCGAACTCCCTCGTACCACTCCTGCGGCCACAGCCCGGAATCCGCGGCCGCGAAGCCCATTATCACGCAGTACAGCCAGAAGTCTCGGAAGAGTTTGTGGATGCGCGGTTTTGGGTTTTTGATGGGCGGTAATCGCCTTAGAAGGACAGCTATGACGGGGATCAACACCCCAAGATTTCCGGCTGAACTAGAGGCCTTCAACGCTCCAGGAGACTTATCGCAGGCTCTCTTACCGTCCAAGCCCAACTGAACAAACAACTCTAACAATCTCCCCAACAACTCATTCATTTGTTGCTCCCCTTGTATATTATTGGCGATATTGGCAAGCGCGTTTATCACAGGCCGCGAAACGTGCCTATACTGCGCCTTATCGTTGGTCGTGTTATAGGCAGCGCTAGCGCTATCCACAGTAATCATGGTGAATATCTTCATCACAACCTCATACACGTGTGGTTCGCATTGGGCGATAATCATGCACCCCAACTGATCCACTATTAACGTATCCAAAGCAGACGGCACCCTACAGAACCTCTGCTGGAAAAACTGCAGTATCGTATCCGTAGTTTTGGGTGTGCCTTTCATGGATACCGCTACATGCCCCAACATAATCACTATGTTCGTTGAAATCAACGTAGTTTCACTATCGTTTTTCTCCGCTGTAAACAACCTGTTGGATACCGAGGCCACCAGCGCCCTCACGCAGTCGGGATCGGAACTGTGCGCCGCGCCGAGAGCGTAGCACAAATTTTCGATTGCCGCGTCCCTCAACCTCTCAAACGCCGACTGCGTCGAAGAAACAGTTTTGTTCGTCTCCACCTTTAACTCGCTCCCTACTGCGGTGATTTTGATGTTCTCCTTGTTGTTTCTATCGGTTGTTTGTCGATGCAACTTTAACAGAATCGGCGAGGGAGTAATGAGGAAATCTCTGAGACAGTAGATAGAAGTCGAGGCTATGTTGGGGAACTTCTGGGCCAGTTTGCCCAAGCCTTCCAGGCACACCATTAGGAGGGGCATGTGGGCCAAGACGAGTCGGTAGCCCTGACTAGAGTTTATCTTTTCGGTTAACCGGCTGCAAAGGCTGTCGGCGCCTGAATATCGGAAAAAATATTGTGTAAATTTGCGAAAAAAGGAAATTCTTCAAATTTGCTTTCCATAGATAAATTATCTCTATGAAATGCAATAAACCAGTTTTGAAAACGTTTTTTATTCAACTGGGAGTTTGCATTTACAAAAATAGTATTTTTTTCATAAAATTATTTAAAAAACTTTGTTTTAACCTTATTAAAAAAACTGCAAACTCCCAATTTAAGTGTTTCTAAAATGATCAAAAATGTTTCAATTACTACCTAGCGGTTTCGCGGTCATATTGCTATATATTGTTGTTTTTTTTGCGCAAATGCGAATAGATTATGAAATTCTGAATTCAGCAATATGTAGTACCTACAATTTTGTATTGTGTTTTTAATTGTAAATGAAATTCAAGAACTAAATCGTTGCATTTTCATGTTTTGCCAAAGGTTCCAATTCGGTAAGTACATTTGTTGGTGCAGAATTAACTAATGATAACTTTACCTAATATAATTTATATTTAAGTTTGGACATTTTTAAGAAATTAGTAAAAAATAATTTTTGCACAAACATAACCTTAAAATCAACCATTTTTATATTTGTGTTCTCTAAAAACGCCGACAACTGCATTTTAAATAACAAAATATACCTACGAATTCATGGCAACATAATATTATATATAATACATAATATGAGTGGAGACTTTCTTAATCAACGCTTTTAATAATGCTAAATGCTGTTTAAATTTAGACGACTTGTTTGTTTGACGATTTTTACTGAATTGAAATGTTTACACTTTTCACGTTAATCACTACTAAAATGTGTATTTATTGTATCTAATAGGTACAATTTATATTTACAGAGACTGTATGAAATTTATTTCTTCATTCAGATTAACACTGTTTATTGAAACACCCAACAATACAACAAATCGAGCCACGGTTTTTTTCCGATATTTTTTAAACAATTTCATAACCTATTCAAACTTTAAAAAAACGGGGTACAATTTTAAAAAATGGCCGATTACGTCAGAGATTCTACGAAAATAACGTCGATGTAAATTTATTTATTCAGCGTAGGCGTGAAACCGCTAGGGTAAAGTAAATTCAATGGAAAACAGTTAAAATTACATAAAACAAAAACTAGGATGGTTTTTAGAGACATGGATGAAAAACAAATAACAACCTGATAAAAGTGCTAATCTAACGAATAAACAAAAAAGGTCAAAACATGTCACCTAATATTGTAACTAAAAATTGAAGCAAAGTTGAAAAGTTATACTCAGAATCCACTGTAAATAAAACGATAATAATTTAATGAGACATAGTTAAACGAAAATGAAAAAAAAACTATTTGTGTTACCTGTTTCATCCCCTATCGCCCACACGAGCAAATCCACGCAGGCAGCGTTTGCCATTACGTTCATTTTAAACTTATTCACAAGAGCATAATTGCTTTCCCGATCCTCTTTTTCGCTGGCATCGTGATTTTTGCTCTGCAGTTCCGTCTGGCCATTCAGAAACAAGCCTGAAACGTCAAAATTAAGACTTTGTCTATTTAAAATGTTATAGTTAAAAATAGAATATAAAAAACAATTATTTATTAAAAATTATGTAAAGTGATAAAAAATTATCAATTTTTAACTGGGTAGTTCCTTAGGGTCCACTTTTGGCTAATCTGGTTGCCTAATTTAATTTATTATGTCATGGTTGGTAGCAACCAGCGTTTTCAGATTATGTCAAAAAAGTTGCCAAATTTTGTTTAAATTCAGCTTAATTACAAAAAAATGACGAAATCAACGATGCAAATTGTTAATTTGGCGTTTTTATTAATTGTTTATTAAGTCATTTTTGTAATGAAGGTAAATTCAAACAAAATCTGGCAACTTTTATGACAGAATCTAGTGCATTTCTTTCAAATTTTAGGTTATGTGCTCAAATTGTAAATATCTTAGCTAAGGGAAGTGCTTTTGGATTTATTTACACAAATTGAACGTTTAAAGCTTAACCTGTGAACTTGTCCAAATTTCATCCGAGTAAACAGAATAAACCGATGAAAAAACTAATTTTGTGGTTATGTAGTTTTTAAAAAAGGTACTAAATTTTCCAATCATGGCTTAAGCTAATGGCTGGATGAGTAAATAAATGTAGAAGGGCATAAAAATTTTGTGTTTATTGAGTTTTTATTTATTTTTTGCTACACAAATTTTTACATACTTTTGCAAGATATTTACATTTTAAACCAGTATAAAATTGCCTATGCTGATCAAATTAAATTAAAATATATAGAATTGTATAGAAATAAAATTCTTATTACATTAAAATTGTATTAAAATTTCATAATGATATTTTAAATGGTTTTTAAAATAATTTAATTTTAACCCTTATAAAATCTCTGCTACTGATTAAATTAAATTAAAATCTGTACAGGATTAAGATTATTAATATATGAAACTAATCTTAAAATTTTAGTATAATATTTTTAATAGTTTTTAAAATAATTTAATTTTTACCATTTTAATCATTTAAATAAAATTCAAGAACTAAATCGTTGCATTTTCATGTTTTGCCAAAGGATCCAATTCGGTAAGTACATTTGTTGGTGCAGAATTAACTAATTATAACTTTCCCTAATATAATTTATATTTAAGTTTGGACATTTTTAAGAAATTAGTAAAAAATAATTTTTGACAAACATAACCTTAAAATAACCGTTTTATATTTGAGTTCTCTAAAAAACGCCGACAACTGCATTTTAAACAACAAAATATACCTACGAATTCATGGCAACATAATATTATATGTAATACATAATGTAATGGTATTTTACCGTTGAGTGGAGACTTTCTTAATCAACGCTTTTAATAATGCTAAATGCTGTTTAAATTTAGACGACTTATTTGTTTGACGATTTTTTCTGAATTGAAATGCTATTAGCGATACTTCTTTTTTGCCACTGTTGAACGGTGACGTAACAATATGGCGGACTTACCTTTGACAAATTCCTGCACATCTTTTGTAAACGGCACAGGTAAATCCTTTTGGGGTTGGAGTAATTCTCTCATCAAGGTTACCATAACCAAATTGACGGTTTCGGAGAACGTTTTGTAGGGAAAAATCAATATTTTTCCCGTGGAGTAAATTTCTTGTGATGTTTCGTCCAACATGCTTAGCACGTCTTTGGTTAGTAACTTTTTATTCATCGATAGTATGGTGGATAGGTGGCTCAGGCTGAATATGATTCGTTTTTGTTTGTCTTTGGGGTCGTTGATTCTCAGATGGGGAAATTGGTTGAAACTCGAGCCGAATTTGGAAAAAAAATACGTCGTTTGGTTGTAGTGTGGTTGACCGGAACTACATATGGAACTCCTCTTGAATGTGGAGGAATTGTAAATTATTTCGGTGGTTTCGTAGGTTTGCGATGTGATGGCCAAAACGTCCACTGTCGTGGCCAAATTCCCGGACAAACTCCTCGGTATAATATTCCGGAAGTTGCTAAAACTCCTTTTGTACGCGTTTTGATCTTTCGCAGCCGCCTGACTCAGAGGCGGCTCTGCCTTCGGAAACAATCGGCAAATCAAAGGCGGCTCGCTCACGGCGAACCTGCCCATCGCCCTCGCCAAGCCAATCAGAACCGGCAAAGTGGTTTTGCAGACAAACAGTTTCGTGGCGCTGTTGCTATTGTTAGGATCTTCAAGTTTAAGAATACTGTTGGTCAACGATGCCATACAATCGACCTGCAAATCTATGATTTCATCCCTGCAGCCCTCGCAACGGACTGCTATGTCGCTAAGCAGGGTGTGCAAGCAAAAACTAAACCTCTCGGCCATCGGTAATCCTTTAAAAAACGTTTTATGTTTTATTAGCTTAGAAAAACGGTAAACATTCAAAATGCCTTATGTTATCCCTGTATTAACTACTCCAAGGTATATCCATGTTTTATATACTCCAAGGTAACAAAAATTAGGGGTTTGACCCATAAGACATTTTTTTACTATAAATTTTAAATTCCTTATGCAATTTTGCTCTAGGACATTATGGGGCATCTTAAGGTAGCATCTACATTTGTTTATCTAAACACAAACTAAAATAGTTATTTATGCAATTAGGTTAAGAAGTAAGGCTTTTGTGCTAAGCACAAAAAGGCACTTCTAGGCCGAATGGCATATAACATTTTATCTTCAAAGCACTTTATATAGGTCAATTCAATTCAACATCAAAGCGGCCTAACCTCACTTTTTTAGAATCTCATTTATTTATTAGCTAAAGATTACATTAAATGTACAATAATTATTATTGCTTTTAGAAGCAGTAATAGTTTGACAATACCTAGCTACATGATTTAAGTAGAAATGGATTTTTGCTATTACATTGAATTCAATTAATTGTTTAATAAATAGGTAGGTATCTAATTTCAATTTGTTTGGATTTTTATTTAAAAAATAGGTAGTTTGGAATGTTTATGCTGTGTTTAACATTTAATTTCACTGAAAACTTAAAGCAAATTAAAACTTGAAGATAATTTAAATCGTAGAAAAAGAATCGTGCGTTTTCTTGGTTGCCTAAGCTCACTTTTTGTTTTATTGTTCATATTTAATTTTACAATAATTTAATGAAAAATATTAAACATTAACAGTAAAACAAACAAATTAGTGCTTATTATAAATAAATTAAACCAGTTTAGTACGTTAATTTCTTAGAAAAGGATTAATTTGTCAAAACAATACGCCTAGCGAGAAAAAATCGAACTAATTACTTGCCTATCGGACTAGGCCATAACAAGGTATTTCTTTATTGAATGTTGACAGCAATAAAGTTTAAATTATAGACCGCGTGGAGATAAAAAATAATATTACACTACATTTTTTATAGAAACCTCAAAAACTAGTTTAGCACTTTTTAAAATTGTCATTTCAAATTTCTGGCTGCCAACTTAAGAAACACAAAAATATGACAGTTGTAAACCTTAATTTTGCCTTTATAACGACCAATTAACAATTTATATTGTTACTTATGTACTTTTAATGATGTTTTTTGTTATAAATGATACTTTAATTAGCAATAGAGAATTAATTTGTGAATTAAAATACAACATTTTATTTTTACTACATTGGCATTGCTAAATTGCCATCACAGCCTACTTTTATTCATTTATAACTCTTCAAATGGAGATACTACCCTAACAAGGAAAAAATACTAATTTAGTCCATACAAAAAATGTATAAAACGTACTGTCAGATTCCTTGTATTTCATTTCATCAACCCATACCGCCTTTTCCAGTAATTTAGCCAAGCTTAGTAGATAGGGTAATATTTTTTCCCTGTGTTGTAGCCCCGACTCCAAAAAATACACCCCCAGAGCAATGACAGCATCCTGTTGTCGACAAGTTATCTGTATAACCCCATTTTTCACCTCCGAAGGACACAATGCGTACAAAGTTTTCACCTAAAACGTCGATTAACGTGCAAAGTTCAATGCTATTAGGTTTCCAAATCAATAATATCGCATACCTTTTCCCATGGTGCGTTTTTTATCGCCGCCAAAGACCTTGCTAGATGCTGCACGGTTTTGTGGAAGAATACCTTCACGTCTCGAGTCATTTTTCCCTCAATATCACTCCATTAAACAACAATTTACAGGACAATCACAATTTAGATGATAACCTTCAAGACACAACACCTGTCATGTTTATTAATAAACGTCAAACAAGTGTCAAAGTTCAAGGGATCTGTAGGAAGTACGTTAGAAATAGCGACATCTATTAATGCAACATGCAAGCATATAAATACAAATAGTGGGTTAGTTAGAGCTTGTTCTAGTCACATATAGATGGCGCTAGCAGTTTCAGAGAAAATTATCGATATATTTCGTTACAAGTTGCCGAATTTTTTTTTTATTATTTTATTTAAGTTTTACTAATACGATATTTAGTATTTAAATTTACTGTTAAAAATAAAAAAAATATTAATTCATTGTTTCGACTTTTACTTGATGAAACTTCATGTTGATATTAGGTAGGTATGTTAACAGTTAATAAAAAATATTATTTCCCAATTTGTTTTTAAATATTAAAACTATTAGGCAAATTTATGATGTAAACAATATAAATTACAAAACAAAACAGAAGTTGCTTAAAATAGTTCTCACAATAATTAAAATAATCGACTAAAAATGAATTTATTTCGCTAATAATTAAATCAAACAATAAGAAATCGAATAAACAAAAGAAAACACGAGATGCTTAAAACTCAATGTTTTTGTATTAATTAGAGCCTTTTCTTTTGTGTACGATCGTTCGTGATAAAAGAAAATACGATTCGAAAATAAGGCAAACAATGCGAGGTAGAGAATGAAGGCGGGGAATCATTCATTAAAAACACGAAGATCTTTATGCAAACAAAAAAGTCGGATACTCAAAACATTTTTACTGATTTATTGGGTATTGTCCTTTCATTCGTCTATAAATATTAAGCAGAAAACTGCCTGAAAACATGTTAAATAAATATTAGTGCAATTAATGTTTAAATATACCGCCATTTTTGTTATTAGGGGTTGGTAGGGCCTAAAAAATTGAAAATACAAATGTCATTCGGTTTAAGTGATTATTGTGGTGTTTTTTTGTAAAATAATAACGTAATTAAGTAATAGTTAATGAATTGAAGTAAGAAAAAAGGTAAGACATTGATTTTTGTTAGATTTTGTAAGTAGTTTAAAGTTCGTCACAGCCTACTACTAAAAATATTCATAAATTCTTGGGGCCAATTTGTGCACATCATTTTAAATTTACTGGGGCTGTCCGTATAAAAATCAAGTCCCATAAATATCGTAAATAGGCTTACGTACCCTCGGTTAAAGTTAAAATGAGGCCATTTCGACTAAAAGCATATCGAGTGTGTACAGATTACAACAATATAAGCAATCTAGATGGTTCATTAGCCACCCCACACATTTAGTTTTTATTGTTTGGGAATGCGGTGGCGGCAAGAGAAAAGCACTGACTGTGGCGATCAATTGTTTTTAAAGTTATATCGCACCCCCTAAACAGTTTTGTGCAGATTTAATATTTTTGCGCCCTAAAAAGTCCAATTTAATAATCCTTACACGGAGTAGGCTTGTTTTGGTTGGCAGCACTGCATAAATTGTTTCTAGATGACATTTGTGTTCTGCCACAGAACTTCTGTGTGATATTTCTTGTACTATATACTATAATATTGTTGTAAAAAGTGAATTATATAAATAATAATTGATTAAATTAGATTTTGATCGGTGGTAATGCCGACAAAATGATTGAAAAAAAAACAATTTGCCTTATTGTTCAAACGATGGCTTTTTCTATTGGGAACAATGGTCTATTGAAGAAATTGTTCGTTTTTCACGCTGAATTAAATACTATTAAACGGTGCTCACAATAAAAAAGAATAAAGGAAATTTTAATAGTGTAGGTATCAATTTTACTTGGCCTTTTCAAGATGTTTTTATAATGTAAATTATTTTTGATAATGCAATCCCACGTAGTACTTAGGTATGAGGCGGTTTTTAATTGGGGACAAAAATATTTGTCTTTAAAATTGATTGTTAAAATTGCTTTTATTACATCAGTTTATAAAATATAGTGATTTGTAACCATGAAAAAACGACCATTTTTATTATTAAATATTAAAAATATCGTAAATTTGTATAGTTTGTTAACATTTTTACAAAATGTCAGTTAGTGACTTTTGGCAGGAATAGGACGATATGAACGTTTGTAGTGACCTTTTGATTTCGACTTAGTAGTGCAGTTAACTAGATTTAACTGATAAAACATATTTTCTCTTTTGCTGTGAAAAACTACTTTTATTTCGATTGTTAGTCTATTTTCAAGAGATAAATTTTGATTGGGTGACGTTCACAATATCGAAATTCATTATATCGAATTCAAAATATCGAACACTTTTTATCGAAAATCAAAATATCGAAAATACAAAATGTCGAAAATCAAAATATCGAAAATTAAAATGTCGAAAATGATAATATCGAAAATTAAAATGTCGATTTGAAAATGTCGAATAATTAAAATTTCGAAAATTAAAATGTCGAAAATGATAATATCGAAAATTAAAATGTCGATTTGAAAATGTCGAATAATTAAAATTTCGAAAATTAAAATATCGATTTAAAAATATCGAAAATTAAAATGTATGATTAAAATCGAAGTGTATATGTACAGAGGCGCCTCTGTAGATAAAGTTACGGTTATGCACCGAATTATCTTGGCTCCCTGGCTCCTAGAGATGCGCGTTTTATAGAAATGTACTCAAACTCAACAACACAACCCAACCGACCCCGCCCCATTGCCCCCCCCCCCGCCCCATTGAGCAAAAAACCCAACTAAAATGGGCAAATTCATGTTACGATAAAAATAAAACACTTTTTAATTACATAAATTAGCCCATTTTAGTTGGGTTTTTTGCTCAATGGGGCGGGGGGGGGGGCCAATGGGGCGGGGTCGGTTGGGTTGGGTTGTTGAGTTTGAGTACATGTCTATATCAGAGGCGCCTCTGTACATATACACTTCGGATTATTAAAATAATATTTGTATAATTTTGTATTTTCGACATTTTAATTTTCGACATTTTGTATTTTCGATATTTTGATTTTCGATAAAAAGTGTTCGATATTTTGAATTCGATAAAGTGAATTTCGATATTATGAACGTCGATATTTTATTTTCGATAAATTGAAAATTCGATTAAATAAAATTTCGATATTATCATTTTCGACATTTTAATTTTCGATATTTTGATTTTCGACATTTTGTATTTTCGATATTTTGATTTTCGATAAAAAGTGTTCGATATTTTGAATTCGATAAAGTGAATTTCGATATTATGAACGTCACCCATTTTGATTTACACAGAAAAATTTGAGATGTCACTGTCACTTTTGGTACTTTTAACATTTCCCGTGAAAAGCCTGATTTATAGATTGCCTTCCTTTCTTCTTTCCTTCCTCCCGTAAACGATAAACAAGAAAAAAGAACATCACTATGGTTTTCGTATTGTTTATCTTTTACGGGAGAAAGGAAAGAAGGAACGAAGGCAATCTATAAATCAGGCTTAATAAGAATTTTTAATACTTTGTGATAATATTTTGCAATTAAAGTAATAAAAAAAATCAAAGAATAATTTTTTTTAACATAATTATATTTTAAAGTATTAATAATTTTAAGTTTATTTAAAATATTAACAGGTAATGTTAAAGGTGAAAATTACGTCAAAAATGTTTATTGGGATGTATATTAGATAATATTACCCAGACAGCTTCCAATTCAGAAAGATTTCTGTACGAAGTCTGTTGAAAAACATCTTACCGAGGTCACAATATGACATCTTAGAGAAATTATTTTTAGGAGCTCAAGATTAAGAGCCCTTGATGAATTCATAAATAAAAAGTCAATCTTTTAACATCTTAAAGTATCTTTTTTTCTGACCTCTTATTGGAATCAAAATTAGAAGCTACTCATAAATAAAAATTCAGTTTTATTCAGTGGCGGCCCGTCAGGGAAGGCAGGTGAGTGCCTCATCATAAGCAGGTGTTGTGGCAACACTGTTGGGAATTTTATATAAATTATATAATAAATGGTATTATTTTTCTTATAATAAATCGATTTAATTGAAATTATATTTCTATTCTAAAATAAACATATTTTACCACTATCGCCATCTTGTACCCATCACAGTAACCAATAAAATAAATACAGATTCCTTCATAGGTTTGTTTTGGTTATAAAATTCTGAACTGTTTAAAGAACAAATCTGTGGTTATTTACGCAATATTTTGTTTATTCTTTTTCTATGAGTTTGTCCATTTTATGATTCTTTTGTAAGTGGTTTATTCTGTGGGTTTAGTTAATTGAACTTGGTGATTTATGTGAATTTAGTCATTATGGATATTACGGTGAGAAATTATACCGATATTGTTGACTTTCTTTTGAACTTTCCATTTAGTCGTCTTTCTTTCGATGATAAAATGTTTGTTAAGGAATTTGGTTTGTTAAGTTGGGTTTAAAAAAATTTATTCGCCTTTAAATGAGGGCGAAACCCTGCCTCTGCCTCACCAAAATAAAATGTCACGGGCCGCCACTGGTTTTTTCTCACCGCTGTAACTGCTTGTGTTTGATTTAAGAAGCGACCAAGTAGAATTTAGAGCGTGCTCCATACCAAACGGTCTTAGACCTAGGTAAACGGCTACCCGATACTGAAAAGCTCCAAAAGAGCTAGACAGTCCGTCTATCGGTGCCGGTGAAGAGCACGCTTGAATTTAAACAAAAGTGAGACGAAGTAATTCCAAAAATAAGCGAATACGAGCAAATTATCAATTTAACAAATTCGTTTGTTCTATCCATGGTAATTAAACTAGACATATCAAAATAAGCAACCATCCAGTATGTAATTTTTTCATCAGTACCCTTAAGTGTATTCAAATCCAAGCTGGACTAAACAAAAACGCCCAGACGCATGATAACTCGTTCTTATTGGTCGATTCTGATGGTGTGACTCGGATTGTGAGTTCTTATTGGTCGATTCGGAGGATTGTGTTTACATTTAGTCCAGCTTTGATTTAAATAGACTTTAGTAGTAGTTCTACATATCCAAAACAGGAAATTCTAAAAAAGTCTTTTTAGGTAGATTTATACAGTAGGACATTTTAAAATGCTTGATTGCGAAATCAAAGAAAGGGTTCCTCAAG